TGCTCACCATTTTTCCTGTGCATATAGATGACGTGAGAAAAGAGGTGTCTGCTATCACTGCAGCCAAGGAGGGAGAGCCAGGGTTATCTTATGAGCTGCCACAGATTAGCTACAAAGCCAACAAGGCTTAACACGAGGTGGAAGTAGCTGGGGGATGGATGCAGAGGGTGAGGTGACATTGCCAAGGACACTCTACAGTCCACGTGGTGCACGCAAGGGCACCAGCATCCCTGCCACCAGCAGCCAGCATTTATGGAGCACCTGGAGCAACACAAGGAGGTGGAGAGGAGGGACATAGTCAGAGTCCCTCTCTTGGAGTGGTGCCGGACCCTGCTCCACCTGGAAGTATTGCCCTGAAGGGACAATATCAGCCACAGTGCTGAGTGCACCACTCACCCCAGCTCTGGGCTTTTAGCAATTCCTGGCAGCTCCAGTGAGGGTGATGACTGGCCCATGGGGATCTCCCCAGATCCTTAGGTTGAAACAGGAATTTGTTTTATATTAACCCCATATCAGCAACAGAGTCTGACCTGCTGGGGGACTTGTGGCTGTATCCTGCAGGGGTGCACCAGCGACATGGAGAGACCCCCACCAGCTCACAGTCACCAGACCACTCTGAGCAGGCCTACTTCTGGAAGCCATCCTGATTTGAGGGTCTCTGCCATGCTCCCCATGGCTCCTGATGCCTGGAGGGTTTTTAGCTCACCTCAGTATGAAGGTGGCTGCACAGACTCTGCTGGCTTCTGCCTGCACAGGGTGCTGCTGCAAAGCTGATTACCCTGTCCAAGCCTGACAGTGCCATAAGCCCCTCGGAGTCTTGCAAATCCAGTTCAGGTCTAGAGCAAAAATGTTACCTGAGTTTTTTCCATATCCAGAGAACTCCAGTCCCTCAACACCAGGAAAGAAATAGAGTTTACTGCATGGATCTTTCATTCCTCATTGCTATAGGAGCAGGCAATGGAAGATCCACTCCTGTCCTCTTGTATGAACTCCTCCTTCCAAAGACAGCAGGAAAAACATTGCCAAATCAACTTTTTCCCTATTTCAGAGCTCTCTGACTCCTGAGCCTGCACGCAGTGTCCAAGTGCTGCTGCTAGTGGCCACGGCATCCCGCTGCACGCTGAGTGCCGCTTTGCCCACATCCTTGGGAAGGAGCTCCATCTGCTGAGCCGGTGGCTCAGGCTGAGTCCCAGCGACCACTGCCAGACTTGTCCCGGGGCTGTGGGGTGACTGGTCATCAGGCATTCCCAGGGTAGCACTGAGATCATCAGACCCTCTTGTATCAGGATCAGTGCTCGTGAGAAGCTCCTGGGAGTTTTTGAGGTGCCTTCCCCTGATGGAGAAACAAACTGAGCAGAGAGCGATAAGCAAAGCGCAGGTGAGGGGAGAAAAGGTCCTTTTGTGCAATCATGTGAGCAGACTGGGGGAAAGTGGAAATACAGGAAAAGGAAGAATAAAAGGGTGCTGTCATCTCAGTCTTCTTTGAATGAAGTCAGTGAGCTGAGCTCATGTCAGGTGAAGGAGGAAGCCAGGAAGTGACCCGGGTTTCAGTGGGGCTTTCTCCCACTTAGATCCAGGCTCAGCTGGAGCCTCTGCTTGGAGAGGGAGCTCCTGGGAGCTGCCTGCAATAGCAGAGAGATGAAGAGGGTCAGCTCTTGAAGGGGAACTGCTCTTGGTCACTGTTTTCTTGTGACAATGAACCAAAGACCCACCATGAGGGCAGGACCAGTTGGGTCCTTGAGGGACGCGTCATACTCTGCATGGGTTAAGCCAACTGCCTGCCAGAGTGAGGGGCCCTGGACAAGTCATCTCATGCCTGCCCCTGTGGGACTTCTTGTGGCACTGATGCACACTCAGTGGGAGATGAGGCTCTCAGGCAGACTGAGCACATCTGCTTTGGGACCAGGAGCACGTCTGCAAGGACACATCTAACCCAGGCATCTCTGGAGCTGTTGCTTTATCCCAGACCAGCTCCACTTCCCAGCCATGGGAGAATTTTGGTATGTAAAAATACCTTTTTCCTTCCTCCTTCTTGGAGGTACAGGATCTTTACTGTGGTTATTTTCATAAACATTTGACGGCAAGTGCTTCTCTGTGAACAAAGGTTTCACTGCAGAGAAAATGTGCAATAGGCCAGAGAGCTGAAAAGAAAGCTAATGAGCATTTGCACCTTGCCTGAAGGAAGTTACCCAGGGAGAGAGGAAGATTTCACTCCTAAAATACCAAACAAACAGGGAGCCCCTCAGAACCCCAGTCCTTCACACCCTGCAGACCCAGTGCAAGTTTTGCCATTTCTGTTCTGGGATGACAGTAAGGGTACAGGATTGAGCCTGGATTTTAAGCTGCTCGCTGGTGTCCCCAGTGTCATAAAGTACCTTGCTGGCTCCAAGACTGAAGTCAAAACCTAACAGATGGCCATGCTGTTCCTGAGCACCCCAAAAGTTTCAGGCTGGTGAAATGTTCATCTCGGCTTGCTCCCCAAGCTGCTGTGTGCTGAAAAGCAGTGCCTGTCCCAGACCAGACAGGGCTTCATTTGAGTGTCTGGTGAGTGACCCCTGTGTCTGAAGATGTGGTGGTTAGTACCATGCCACCATCAGGAGGTGATGTTTCACTTGATGGTCGCTTCACTCTGATTAAACTCACCACGAGCTGCAAAATGATGAGAAAAAGCAATGCACCCACCAAACTGACGATGGAGACAAGAACAAAGCTGTTCCATGGGACTTAGTTGGCAAGGACTAACTGACATGGAAATTACGTGACCGAGAGCCAGCAATTACAGGACTATCCTGCTCCACATGGGAGAGGCCACAGCTGGAAAATAGTTTGCTGTCTCCTAGGGACAGCCCAGGAAAGGCTGTGGAAACTATTTGAAGAAAGCATCCCTATGCATGAGGCTGCACCATGCCAAAAGCAAGGCAGTGCACTGGGGAAGAATGGGCTCTAAGGCTACAGAGCAATTGCATATGCAAATACTTTCTTGCATATAGAAGAAATAAAGCCAAAATCATGTCCTGAAACCCTAAAAATCTCAGTGTCTGATGTTCAGCTGATTCCTTTCAGTCTGTGCTGACAGAATGACTGACCACTTTTCACCAGGGCTTATTTAGGGCATTGGTTTCTGGTTTGGGGTCTCCTCAATCTGATGTCAGGGGGTTGTTCAGTAGCAACCTGAACATCCTGTATCTCATTAAGGGATTGCCAAAGCCGTAAAAAAAGATTTGCCGTTGGATCCCTCAGGAGTCTGTAGTGGGACCAGTGGTATTTAATATCTTCATTAGTGACACAGAAGATAAGATGAAAACTTTTCCTTCCATTCCTTTCTTTCCTTAAGGCAAGGAATTGAGTATGACTTAACAGCAGGTGGGAGAGGTTATTTGAAGCAAGAAGATACCCCAGGCACACACAGGGAAAGGCTTGCTGGGTGCTTAAAAGCAACTGCAACTGAGTGGATTGGGATAAATCTGGGCTTTAGGAGCTCCGAGACAAACTTCATGGCTTTGGGCAGATCACAACCTCTGCATGCCTCTTCTTCCCTTGTATGAAATGGACAGAAGGGCCAGGAGGAGAAACAGGAGGTATGCCAGCTCTCAGGGTGAAAGCAGTAGCAGTATCCATGGTAGAAAAGAACAGTGACCTTTTCACCAGGATATTTGCTTCAGTGTTCTCCATCCTCTTCAACCTCAGCTCTTTCCTCTCCTCCTCCTGTGGGAGAGACACACTCACCCAACAACGCACTGAAGAGTGTTTGCATTTTCAGTCCCAGTCATGCAGTGCAGAGTTTAACATCTGTGCCTTTTAAAATTAAAAATGCCTGGTATTTAGTGTAGCTTGACCCATTCCCACAGGGAAAAGAAACCAGTAATCACAAAGAAACCAGTTCTGTGGTATTTTTCTTGAGCACAGTGCTGCAGTCAGGCAGGAGCAACCCCACTAGGATAAGAATTTACCCCAGCCTTCCCCTTTGATTGATCACAGGATATCCCTTGCTATATGCACATCCACCTGTGAAGAAGCCAGAGTACTTTGAAGCCAGATCCCCGTTCTGATAGTGGGAAAGCTGGGAGCCATCATCCCAGGGCTGGGCAAAGAGAGAGTTGCACCATTGCAAGGCTATGGCCTAAGCCTGTGCCCTTGCATAAATGCCAATACTGTGCTGTTTTAATTTGACAGCTTGGCCACTAAAGGAAGCAACTCACAGCCCTCCAAGTGACTCCTGGCCCCACAGGCAGAGCTGGGAGATGCAACATTGGTGCCATCTAGGACTGGACACCAAAAGTAAAAGTGAAACCACCATCTTTAAGTGTTTTTGAGACACTTAAAAGGCAAGAATGACCCCAGGTGAGAATGGCCCCAGGTGAGAATGGCCCCAGGTGAGAATGACCCCAGCGAGCATATGGGACAGAAAGGAAAGGATGTGGCTGAATGGGAGTATCTCACTAGCAAAATTACAGCTCTCACTGCTGTTTCACCTGTTGGCCTTTGCTGCTTTTCCTCTCGGAGGGGTGTGTGGTTTCCCCACTGTGCAGAGCCCAAACTGATGCATGAAAAGCCAAACTCGACCCAAGAAACCCTTGGGGTGACCATCAGGGCAGACCCACAGCAGGACCCTGCTCCCCATCCAGGAGCTCAACTCCCCCTTCCATCACCCTCCGACTCCAGGACCCCCACAGCTGGTTTGTGAGGTTTTATCTCTGCCATGAACTATAACAGTCCCTAAAATCATCTTGGCAGGGATAATTCTCTCTAAAGAGAAAACGACCCTCTGACAGCACAGCCAAGTGCAAGGTTTCAGCAGGCGCATCCCACGCCCCTCTGGGCATTCCTGCCGAACTTTGCTTTTCCTTGCCAGGCCAGCCCTGCATCCTCCTCTTCTCCCAGCCCTGGGAAGGCAGCCCGCCAGCCTGCTTAGCATGCGCTTGTCATTGCTGGGAGCAACTGCTGCTGCTAAGGAGCCGAGCTCGGCGGCCACGAGCATCTCGGTCCAGTGTCCCCCCCCCCATCCTGGCTCGTCATATGATTTCTCCTAAGGGATAACTGCTGAGCGGGACCGTGTCTCCAAGCTGATCCTTTGCTGATAAGACGGCTGCCAAGCCTCCAGTGCTGAGACAAAAGAGTTTTTCTCGTCCCAGCAGGTTTTTCTGCTGTGGATGACAGAGAAAGGGGGAAAAGTGAGCTGCCTGGCACTGTTCGTGGGCAAGAGGCTTTGGGGGCTCCTTCTCCCCCGCTGTGCTGGCAGACCATGGAGCTTTTCAGGCTGAGCCTGGGCTGTATTTGTCTTCTTCCTTGGCTTGAGGGTAAGTTTCTCCTCCTTCGGGGTAGCTGTAAAGTAGGAAGAGAACTGCCTCCCAGGTTTTAACCTGCTTTTCTGCTGAACTGTTGCTTGGGCTGCAAAGCTCTGAACCCACCAGCTGTAAAACAAGTGCCTCCAGGCACATTTCAGGGCAGCATCTAAAATGGGATTAAACACAGGGCTACAGAAGAGTGAGGGACAGGCTGGCAAGGTGCTGGGATGGTTGGGCCAGGGACACCATGGTGTCATGCCAGCCACTTTTATAAAGTGCTTTTAAAGTGCTAAGCAGGATGAATGAACCTGTTCTTGGAGGGAGGCAGGCACTAAGTGACTTCCTAAGCACGGTGTTGCTCCCTGCCCCATCTGCCCCTTCCCGGGAGAAGTGAGTGGGCTCAGAACATGCTGGCAGCATGGGAGAGGGTGGTGGGAAGGGTAGCAGGACCTCGATGTAATTGTCCTCCTCCTGTGGTAGGGGTCTTGGAGGGGGATGTGCTGGGAAGCTGCAGTGTCTGCACTGCTCACCTCCATGGAACAGACCCAGTAGTGGCTCAGGTTAACATTCAGCTGCTTTCTGAGGTTGCTCAAACCATGTATTGTACACAGGAGTATTTTGCACCCAAGCAGCCTTGGTTCTGACATGCATGGGTAGATGAGAAAAGCAGAAGTCCTACGGAGTGTTATCTTGCAGAGCCAGAGCAGTGCTGCCCGGGAAGAGCTACCTGGGAGCGGTGCTGCCCGCAGTCTCATCATGGGCACTGGGCAGATCTATTTCCCTTGAAAAGAAAAACTCCCTGAGCTAATAAGCACTTCCCTTTTTATTATTCCTGAGATGTCAGGTTGAAAGGGACTAATTGAAATAAATCCCTGAAGTGCTTCAAGGCTCATTCAGACTCTGAATCTGAGAGGAGAACAGCCCTGCAGTTTTACAGGTTACCTGCTCAGAGCTGTTCAAAATCCCTTGACCAGAGGACTGACAACTATTTGGGCTGCAAAGCTGGGATGATTATGCCTTAAAGACAAACCTCAGACTAGCAGCTCTGACAAGCTACTTTCCATTCCCTGCTCCACAATCTCTACGTGCGTGTTCCCTGGGATGCTTTGAGCAGCCAGCCCTCGTTTTCCTCTGCACCCGGGTCAAAGGACAGGTTTGTACTCCTACAGGTTTGACTTCTGCTGTTTTTTGCATACCAAAACTTTCCAATTAGAGCAAATACAGTGAACTGAGTCTTTCATTTTGTAAAGCCCCAGGCTGAGGGTATGTCTCTGTACTATTAAGAGGTGACAATACATGTGCACCTTCTAAAAGCTAGAGGAGATCTGGTTAAGACCTGGAGATAACACCATGGTGTGATGTTCGGAAAGCAGAGCAGCCTTTAGGGTCTTGCTCTTTCTCTCCCTCTAATGCAGATCTTGTCCAGTGTTAGAAGGAAGTGATTTTTTTCTGTTGCCACACGACAGGAGCCTCATGGCTGTGTTTTATTCGTAAAGCATGGAGGATCACAGGACATTTCTTTTCCTTTCCAGTGTAATGCTTTTGGTGAAACACGTGCTCAAACCGCTGCATTTCAGCCAGACCACTAATAAAACCACAACTGTTTTGCCAGAAAGGAATTTATCTTCCCAACACCTCGCAGTGCCCAAAGAAGCTCAAAGAGCAGAGCACAAACATGTTCTTGCTTGGGGCTGATCTCTCCCTGCAGCAGCCTCTCCCCATTCCCTCCTGCCTGGGGCTGCTGAGTTTTAAGGTTGCTGGCAGGACGGAGGTGCTTGCTCTCGACAGACCCTTGAGGGTTTGGTTTCCTGCTGGAAACTGAAAATCCTGGAATTGCCTAAGCTGGTTCTGACAGCTGTTTCTTTGGACAGTACCTGCAAGCAGGGAGGGAGCTAAAGTGTTTTCTTATGAAGTCAAACCTAATGGTTACTCTGTGAGGTGGGGGTGGATGGGCGAAGGGAAGTTGGGCACCAGAAGGATTTGTGCCTATACAGACAGAAAGAAAACTGCTGAAATAAGACTGCATTCAAGACCTACTCTGGATCTTCATGCACTAAGTGTGAGGCTGGTGGTGGCTTTGCTTGGCATTTTGGCCTGATCCCATATCTTAGGAGCCACTCTCCTCTCCCTCAAGCCCCTGGCAGTGCTGGCTGCTCCCTGATCCCTCATGTCCCAACCTCAAAAGACAGCTCTAAGCAATTTTGCATTGAAGAGGCAGAAAAGCCAAGCTTATAGGAGACTTATCCTCCCCCTTTAATTTTCTAGTCTCCAACTATTTTCAGCTTGGGGGATTTCCTGACCGTAGTGTGTTTAACTCTTCAGTAACTATCAAATCTCCTCCGCTGGCTTGTGCAGACTCTCCCTGGCAGCAAGGATGCACAACTCCTGGGTGCAGAACCACCTCCTGCACACTGTGAGCCTTCCCTTGGCACTCTCCATCTCATCTGGGATCAGTCCTTGACCAGGCAGCCTCTGTCCATCCTTTCCAGACCTCTCTGGATTTTATAGACACTCACCACATCCTCCCGGGGACTGGTTTTCCCCACTTGCACCAGCTTTGTGGTGACTTCTCCAACCTCCCCAGTTTCCCATAATTTATAGATTTTTTTTCCATGCCCCAAACCTTCCTTCTTTTCCTATGGCTGCTGTGCTCACCCAGCTCTAGTTCTGCCTGTTCTGCTGGGCCCGGTGGGCAGAAGCCTAATTGCTCTCCAGCAGGGACTCAGCAGGCTCCATCCAGCATCATCTTCTCCATAGGGAGATTGGCCACATGCACTGAACTGCCATGGACATTTGTGTCTCTCAACTTTACATCCAAGCAAGCACAGCTGGATGCTGAGGGGGGACTGGGGCAAAATAAAGCAAATGGTTCCAGTCAACAGCCAGTTTTGCAAAAAAATACTTAATCTCACCTCCTGCCATGCTGGTATTGGTTATAAAAACAGAAAACAGAGTGCCAATTTCACCACTCCCTTGTGCACATCTGGATTTCCTGTCTTTGACCAAATATATTCACCACACTTCTCTTAGGACAGCAAGTGCCTTCCAGCTGCTTTTAATTTCTTCATTCCACAGCTCTGGGCTGGAGTCCTGCACGGCAGCAGACAGGGGCTTGCTCCTTTGCATGGAAGGAGATGTTTCCATGTGAAGGATTAGGGCCCTGTTTGTCCACACCTGATAGCAGCTCAAACTGATTGCGTCAGTTTGATTCAATGTAATATTCCCACAAGTGATCAAAGAGAGCAATGCTAGCACCTGCACCAGGAATCCTCCTGCCTTACCTGGGAGTTTCCCTCTTCTGCTACTGCATCATCTCATTTGTATCTTTGCCTGAAGGAAGTAGTACCAGTATTACCATAATTAGTAGCAGTGTATGGAGTGGTGTTGTCCCCATCACCATAGTGTCTGTGCAGGTAAAGATGGCTTTCCCTATATTTTCTGGTTAAATTTTACTTTTTTTGGGCTGGAGCTATTTCTGGTAGGAACTGGAGTCCTTTGCAGCTCTTTTTAGAGCTAGGGCAAAGACCAGCATTGCTGTCAGGGCAGCTTGAGAGGATGTGAGTCTTCCAAAGCCTCTTCCCATCTGATGCTCTTTGAACCACTGCAATAGTCCAAGAAGGCAAGGCCTAAATCCTGGGAGAGCTGATATTCAGGGGAGTTATGCAAGGAGACAAACATATGGGATGTATATGAGAATTGTGTGGGTCAGTCTCCATTGGTGTATGCTCTGTGGAAAAGATAAGATCTGCTGCAGCGGAGAAGAGTGGAGGTAGATTAACCTGAGTAGAAAACTCTCTGGGTTATCTCACCAGTAAGTCAGGCCATGGTCCTGCTGGATCTGAGGTTTCTCAGCCATGGTGCAGGTACCCCCTAGAGTTGTCCACATTTTGGGTGGAAGCAGCAGACAGCTTGGAGACATTTCTCCCAGCTACTGTTGCCACTGCCTGGGTCATTTCGGACGAGCTGCTGTCACATGGTGGTATCCAAAAAGAGACATGCTTGGGAGGTCTTCTGGGGTGTGAGATGTCCCCAAAAAGCAGTCCCTATGAGAGGTGCCATGGCTGCTGCAGATGGATACCTGTCTTCGAGGACAGGTAGAGGCAGGAAAAGGTAAATTTCTGACTGTGACTCAGCACACATCTCTCTACAGAAAACACCCACTTGGCAAAGAGAATTCAAGCTAATTAAAAGATTTTTTCAAGTGTTAAGAACCCCAGTAGGGAGGACAAAACAGACCAAAGTCTGAGATTCCTGGGTGACCTGGAGTGTTTTGGGAACCTGTGCTTGCTCAGCTCTGACTTGGTTCCCTCCACAGAGCCTTTAGAGAGGACAACCCATCCCAAACAATTTGCAAATGCCTTCTATCAAACCACCACAGAAACGGCAGAAAAGCCTAGAAACAGCAGAAACTTTCCCAGCCACACTGGGATTACTGGTAACCAAGGCTTTACTGGTGGCATTACCTTAATTAGGAACGTTGCATGGCTTTTGCTCCTAATCCTACATGGAACAGCATGTCCCAAGGGTGGCCATGCTGCAGAGAAGCAGGGGGCTATATTTGCCTGCTTTTTCTATCTTGTAACCAGACAGAGAGGCAGTATCATAGGACAAACGAGCTGGCATCAAGAGCCTTGCTAGAAATTGTTTATTTTGTACCTAAAAATATGAAGAGGCCTAAGTGTTCGAGTATGAGCAGCTCAAAGCAGGCATCTACTTGGGCTCTGTGGGTAAGGCTGGTATTTTCCAGAAACGCTGAGTCCCATCCTCAGGGAGTACACTGGATGCTCTGGTTGCTCCAGGTTAACATCCCCAAAATGTTAGGGATGGTGGCCTTATTTGCCAGACCACTGGACAGTGGGGACTTGCAATGTCGGGAAAAAGAATGTCATTTTGCCTCCTGAGTAAAGATTCTTAGTGCCTGATGTGTATTTCAAAGTAAACATACTCCAGGTTTAATTGTGTGGGGCATGTTCTTTAGAGTGGAACATAAAATACCAGGGGTTGTACACAAGAGAGCACAACACGCATCTGCTGACTGGGTTAAACACCAACACTCTTTAAAATGTAATAAAAACACACAAAACTTTCAAATGGACAGTCATTGCCGAGCAGGGAAAAGAAAAAAAAGCAGCAGAGATTCTGGCATGTTTAACAATAAAACCTGTAACAAAACACAGGAGAAAGAGACTTAGATGAGGAACCCAGAGAGGGCACATAAAAACTGCCAACGGAAATTTTCAAACGTATCTGAAGTAGGAACTTGGTGGGGGTAAGGAGGTCAATAAACAGCTGACATAAATATAAGAAGGGCAACCAAAAGTAGGGCAGTGTAGAAAGGCTGAATGGATTATTGGCTCTGGTGCTCACTTCAGACATGGTCAGGCAGTTCACCCTCTGCAGTTTGAAGAGTGTTATCAAACAAAATTGGCAACAGAGGAAGTTTTAGGAGGAAAAAAAATCATAAATAATTCTGTGGCAAATGACCAGCCCACATGGCATTCACACTGAGTTACAGGAAACTAAAGATGACATTTTTTTATACTTCCAAGGAGTGTGTAAACTCTTATTTAAAGCAACCTCAGCACCAAAGGGCTGCATTACAGCAATGATGTCCCTCTCAAGAGGGATCTTTGCACAGCCCAGGGAGACACAGGTCACAAGGCTTGATTTTGGCACCAGGAAAGTCAGTGAAAGCAAAGCACACTATTTACAGATAGACAGATAAATATGAGAAAAGTCAACACAGCTTTTGTAATGGGGACTCTGACATCCATGAGGGCATCAATGAGCTCATAAATGGGGTGAGCTGACCAAGACTTTGTGCTTGTGTTTGCAAAAGGCTTTTTGATAAGATTCTTCCACCAAGGCCCTTAAGAAACTCCATTCTCGTGGAGTAAGAGAGAGGCTTAGCCCACAGGTTGGAACAAAGAGCTGGACTAGGTTGACAATGGTGACAGTAGAGTGAAGATATCAGCAGGTGCTGACAAAGATCATAAGGGGTGAATAATGAAGTAATTAAGTTTGCTGATGCCACAAAATTATTGAGAATAATAAAACTGAGGTTGACTATGTGGAACTGCAGAAGGAGCCCATAATACTGACGGAGAAACAAAATGCTGGGATTTTTTACCTTCTCAGTTGAAAAATACAATGTAGTGTACATGAGAAAAACCATTTTAAGCATAAATCCTGGGCTCAGCAGATGTTTTATCTGTCTCAGAACAGTTGTCATATTCCCCTGTTACTTTTTTTAGACAGCTCTCAAATCATTATTTTGGAAATGGGTTTCTCACAGTTAAACTGAAGCAAGGATGTGAGAATTCTGGATTTCAGATCATAGGGAAAAAAGGCAGGGGTGGGGTGGTGGTGGGATTGTGTTCATCCATTTCAATTTTCTGCGGATTATGGGAGATTATATATGAGATATTTCTCCTGCCTTTCAAAACTGGCAGAAACTCATTAGTGTCCAAAGTGCATTAAATACCTTACCTCCACCCAGCCCTCAAAAAGGGTTAAAGAGAACAGGACTCATAAGCTGTCCACAGACAGCCCAGAAATTTAATTTCCATTTAGGCACATTGGCTTGGCAGAAATTGTCTGGATCAGTGGCTATCACAGGTCTATGAATATAGAATATAGAATATACCAGTGCAGACACATCCATCCTCATCTCAGAGCTGGTGCAGTAGTACTGTGGTTTCTAGCTGCCTCTCTCCAGGCATTCAGGAGGAGCAGAAAGCCCTAATCTGTTTCTGATTTAACAGCCCCCAGGCACGATTTATCTAGCAGAACCCCAGAATTTCCTGAGAGAAAAACATGAGAGCTCTTTTAAGCTATTGTTTATACCCTTGGTATTGTGTACTGGCTTCTGTTTATACTGTCACTTATTTTTTCAGGTACTGAGCCAAATACTTGTTACAGAGAAAAGTATTGTTCTTTGCTCTGGGAGGGGAAACTCTGCAGAAGTAGTTTAGATAAAATCAGTGTTCTTGTTTAACATCACTTTTCAGCGTCCTCTTACTCTTTATGCTCTGCACTGTTTGCTGATGGAGCTTTTATAACTCTGCTCCTGGGGAAAACAGGGGAAAAAAAGTCACCGCGAAAGCTGGGAGTTACCATGTGTTAATTGTAATGAAGAGATTTCCAGAATGTTCAGAAACTTGAAACTTATTTCTATCCCTCTGTCTTAGGCGTAAAATACACATCAGAAGGTACATCCACATCAGTGACGGATGGTTTGGCATTTAACATTTTGCTCAGGATGTTCACAGGCCACACCTGATGATTTTATGCTGAAAACAGGGGAAATCATCCAGATAACATGACAATATCCATCCTAAGTCATCTGAGATGTTGGGACCTGTTGCTCTTAAAAGCAACAAGCAATTACAGAAATTGCTTCAAACTGTATGTTTGTTGTGGGACGGCTGTAATGTCTCTCTCTTACAAAGGGGTTGTTAAAAGTGGTACCTTCATGCCTAGGCTGCACAGACCAAAGTCAGGCGTGCCAAAAAGAAGATAATTTCAAAACTTACATGAGCTGCGTCAGCCAAGTACTTACACATTTCTGATGGGATATGGTTTTATCCCAACACTGCTTTAACATCACCAGAAGCCATTTAATGGAAAGTGTAGTTCAAGGTGGTCTAGCTGGCCCCAGATGAATAGCACTGGGGGAATTTCAATTGCTTTTTTATAAGAAAGATTTGACCCGGATAGGGGCAAAAAACCCCAAACCATCTAATCATTTTGGAGGGAGGGAAGGATGGGTACCTAATTAAAGCAGTTGAAATACTGAATTAAATATATATAGGCAGGTATTTCACAGAATCATAGAACTGTTCAGGTCGGAAGGATGGTAAGTTTTTTTCCCCATTAGTTACGTGGGTTGTTATTTTTCTCTAGCGTTGCTCAGGGCTATTTACACATTCCGTATTTTAAAGAAATGCCATTCCAGGGAATTAGGAAGCTGGGGGAACTGTTTATCTGGGCATGTCCATCCAGGAAAGGACTGGTGGGTTATGTTCTCCCCTTCCCCAGGGCATTTACTATGTCTGGTGCTGAGAAGAGGCGTTTGCCTCAGACATGCACAAGATACTAAACCGTGCTCTGATTGTACCGCAGTAGCAGAGGGACAAGGCTTCCTCATACGGAACACCCGCCTGGAAAAGTGCATTCGTGTCTCCCTCCACAACACCAACAGCATCAGCCTGACCAGCTGCAAGGCACATTCCCAGCAGCAGCAGTGGAGCTGGGACCCCGACAGCAGGACCATTGTCAGCCTCCAAACGAAGCAGTGCTTGTCGGCCCACAAGGCGCGGGAGAACGCTCTGGTCAAGCTGGAGCCCTGCGGAGACTGGGAACGCCAGGCATGGTCCTGCAGCAAGAAGGGGCACTTGACTCTGCAGAGTCTGGGCTTCCACCTCAGCACCCAGGAAGGAGGCCACAAGGTCTTTGTCTCAAGGGAGAAGGACAAACTCAGCAGGTGGAAGACTTTAGCAGATGAAACCATCTGTGCTGCTGCCCGGACAGCAGCTCGGAGGCCCAGCAAGCCAACACAACAAGATGTAGACACACGTGTGTGGATCTATGAAAGTAAGATGAGGTAGATTTAGCATCAGATAACATCTAACTTACATGTCACCCAAGCCACCTAACACTGGGCTTGCATCCATCATTCTAACTCATGTTCACTTCGGCCCCATCTGGAGAGATACCAGATGGCTCCAGCTCAGCCCCACTTGGTACCACTGTCTCCCCCAGTAGCTGCTGTTCAGTGTTTTCCAGAAAGCACACACTGCCTTACAGGATCGGGTCTCTAAACCCCAGCTGCATTTCTGATGACAGGCAAATATTTCAGAATGCACATAATATGTCAGGTGCCCATAGCCAGTAATGGTTGAAATTGCTTGAGCCTCCCAAGCCCAGAACAATGAAGGTGGTCCCACAAAGTCAGGTGCTTTAGGCTTTCAAAGGGCTTTTGGTACTTTGGGAGGTCATTTTTGGTAACAAGACAACTGGAGGCAGCTGAAAATCTCTTTCAAACTTGTATGAATTATTGAGAAGTAGTTATATTTGAAATCAGAAATTGTTATTTGAAATCAGAATTGTTATATAAGGTACAGTTATCTCCCTTGAACAATGCATGTTTCACTAATGAAACCATAGTTCTAACCTTCATTCCGTGTTGTCATGATCCTCAGAAGTGAACCTTGCTCCCGGTGCCTGAAGTAACCACAAAGAGATTAGTGAACACAACAAGTCGAGGGAAGCAGTGTGCTGCTCTGCCTTTGCAGTAAAAAATCCTAGAAGATGACATCAAAATCTTGTTTATATTATCAGTTTCATGGCCTTAATCTTTGCTAAGAGAATCTAGTCTCTCCCTTCATGAGTGTTCACTAGCCTCTGCCTAGACAGGACACAAAAAAGGCAGAAATCCTGCTCCTGTCATAGTTTTAGGTGTTGGACACGAGGCTAAAAGACAACAGGCATAGTCACTGTGCCACAATGTGACTGTCATCATTTGTCACATGCTCAATGAAGCTCACTGCTGACCACCGATAATTCAGGGTCCAGTCTGTTTCTCTCTTCCATTTAATCCGTTCTGTAAAGAACGGTGGTTTCAGGACTTTTCTTGTAAATTTCTGTACAGAAGTGAGACCTGAAAATCACACTCAATTCCTCCCCCCATCCTCTCCTTTCTTCCACTCCAGGTACCAGAAAAAAGCTGGTGTTTGTAGTACCTATTCTGTGTTTATTTGTCCTGTGCAGGTTATGAGGTTCACCACCTTCCTGAGGGGAAATTTTTTCCCTTACAGGAGGCTATTCCTTACCTTAAGGTTGATGTTCCAAAGAGATTTTGAGTTTTGTAGAAATGAGTAAAGAGAAAATGTGAAGAATCTGGTTGGCATAAGCAGATGGATTATAAGTATAACCTTTTGACACAAAGAGGTTATATCTAATTTTAAATAAAAAGAGATACATTAGCTGCTTGGGCTGCCATGTGAAGATACAGTGGCCTTTTTCCCAAGGTTTTTAATTAGTCAACTAGAAGGTTAACATGTAATTATCACCGTAGTCACAAGTAGTGTTTTGTTTAGCATGAAGTTAAATATGGACCATACAAATCAGATACCATAATAGGCTAGTTAAATATAGGCTAGGAAATGCGTGGAACATTTAAGATATGGGAAAAAGGCATGTGAAAAGGGCGTTTGCATTCCCCAAGGCACTGTTCCTGGCAGCCCAGGGCTGCCTCCGAGCCAGGATCCTCAAATAAGGCTGTGAGGGTAAACACTGAGCAGGCTTTGAATCAGGTTGTGCCAGTTAGTGTGTCTCATGCAAACTAATAATTATCCTATCAATCCCATGGTTCAGTCTACTGGAGGGAACCTCTGACCACTCACTAACAACATCAAAGTCCTATGTGTTTGTTTAGGCATTTGGTATCAAAGTTTCAGTTGATCATCGACAGAGAAGTTCTACCTCGGCGAGTTATTCACTCAATAAATTACACTTGTGTAACCATGGATGCCACAGGAGGGGATGGGGGTCAGATAGGCAGCAGGGAGCCCTGAAGACATGGGTCTCTTGATCTTGCCACACATAGTGCAGGAGAGGGGTGCATTGCTGCCCCAGGGATTCCCACAACCTCCCCTCTAGCAGCAGTTGCTTTCCCACTTGCCCTACTTTTGCAGTAGGACTGGAAGGCAAAGGAAGTTGTTGAGCCCTGCAAGAGGTATGGACTACTTAGCACCCTTTTGATCCCATTTTTTCATCTGCAGAGTTGGTAGCAGCTGTGATTCTTCCTCTTGCCTCTTCCTCACACGTCATGCTTTAATAGCTGGTGTTGCACTCATATTTTTTAGACCAATGACTGTATTTACCACCAGAAAACAAGCTCTGCTTTGGTTGTTGATTCAGTCCCAAGATGTTCATTTCATCTTTAAAATCTGTGAGAACTGAAGGCCCCTGATGCACAGGAGGAGGTGATTCCTACTGCACCACATCTGTTTGCCTTGCAGGGCAGAGGACCAAAACAGCAGGAATGGGTTCCCTTTCCTTGCTGGGCATTGACCATATTCAGGTTCCTGTACAAAAAGTAAATTATAATCACACAGATCTTTGCTTTATTTTCTTCCAAGCTAAAACCATCGATTCATCAAAGATCGATGCCGTGGACAGAGAGTCTCCTGTGATCTTGACTGACCCACCTCTGGCTAACAAATGGAACAGCACAGTGTCTCCAGTGAGGACCAGACAGGCACAGCTCCCAGCAAATGAGGGTGAGCACTTTTCTGAATGCGTATGTGAGAACAGCAGGAAGGAAAGTGTGGGCAGCACTCAGAGGTTACTCAACTATTTTCAGTGCACTGAGGACTTCTGAAGAACTTCCATGTGTACCATGGAGTGCTTTCATAAACACGCTGAGGTGTTTTCCCTTGGCAAGCAGTTCAGTGATATGGCCACAGCCTTAACCTGCAGGCACAGCCATTAGATGTTTTAGGAGCAACAATACCAGCAGATGGGGAACACCGAGGAACAATAAAGTTCCCTTTTCCCTTCTGGGTACCCAGAATACCCAAAGGGTATTTGTGGTTACAGTGCAGCCCCAGGAGGAATTTGGTGTTGTCTCTGGTCCAACTGGGAGCTGCTAATCTGAGTCTCTCTGCTTCTTCTCCTAGATGTATCCCAGAATCACTCTAAGAAGCACGGAAATCGAGGGAAAAACACTGGGGCCAGGCTTGCAGGTAGGTCCAGGGATCAGCCAGAGGAGGAAGGGATCAGGTAAACAAAGGTTCATCAGTGCTCCTGTCCTTCCCATCACAACAGAGCTACATTCCCCTGGGTACTGCTGAGGATGCTCAGCAGGAAGCAGGGCACCAAATTAACTGTCAGAAACACTGTTTTTAAAGATTAAACAAATCTCCACAGGCCTGGAGTAAAAAAGTGAGTAAAAACCCGCAAATGCTTTGTTTCAGCTCATCAGAAGAATTAGATACCTACCTACTAGCACTGCTGCCTTCCCCTAGCACTTCTTATTTTGAAAGCAGAAAGCCGCAGAGAGGAGAAGCATGAAGTTATTGTCTTCACAGCAAAAAAGAAATCCTTTTGTGGACATTTTCAATAGAGGGGTGCTGTGTAGTGTAAAGTGGCTGTAAGAGGTTGATCTTGTAGACAAAGCACTTTTCCTGGTATCTGCCAGTCTTTAGGGACATTACAGGTGCTTTTTTGTGTTAATTGTGGCTATTGCTTAAGAGCAGGGACAGGGAAAGCAAACACTTGATGCTTTCTATGATACCCTTTCAGGCACCAACTGGAAGACAGCCATGCTGGTCCTCAGCCCCTTGGCATTCATACTGGGATTAATAATACTGACACTCAATGTTCACTACAACAAGTAAGTGACATTCAGGTTCATTCAGTCTGCCATGAACAGCACTTTAAAATAAAACTCGAGCATTTCAAAACAAAAAGTCTTGCTTGTGGCACTGCCCTTCTCCATCTCACACCTGGTCTCTGGCTCTCAGCAGATGGGTCTGCTCACCAGTGATGTCACCCTTGATGACACCTCCTCTCTGCCACCCCATTTATCTGTCCCGCTCACTAAACCATCCAAATGCAGCCACTGATGTTGGCTGCTCCTCTCCTGCACAGCTCACACCACCCTGGAGGATGTGGCATTACCAATGAAGCCACCAAGTGACAGGTGGGTGCAGTTACATACCCTCTCCTCTCTCCTCCTAGGAAGAAGAAAATCCTCTCTGCCCTGAAGAGCTCTCCAGCCAACAGCAGCAGAGCTGACCTACGGGAGCCAACTCCCTTACGAAGGAGTCCCCAGCCATACCTTCCACCATCCCGCTCCCCTTCCCTGAGGCACGGAGAGATCCTCATCGAGTGGAAAGACGGGACAGTCACTCCTCTTTTTGACAATGTCAGTTACCAAATGGACTAGCTTCAAAGTAACAGAGCTGTTGCTGTTTCAACAGTAAGCACTGTTTGGGGTTTTTTTTTTTGAACACTTGAGTACAATCTCCTTGCACAGCACAGGGTTGAAGCAAGCAGAGTAGGTTGTTTGGTTTGTAGAGACACATGCTGCTTAGCAATTCCAGAGCTGCTTTAACCCATAACAAAGCCCAAGTTTACCTAAATGAAGCTGAGACTTTCACCAGCTGCACCTGCTCATTGAACAGAAATTCTAGATTACTGAGCACATGAGAAAGTAAATCTTTGAGATAAGGTATAAGGGAAAAAAATGAAATCCTGATGACCCTTAAATTCTTTTTAAGATAAAACTAGCTGCCAACAGGCCCAGGAGCCTGTCAGTTGTGTTGTCAGTGTGAGAATATAACTAATAAGCACTACTCTCAGGACTCAAAAAATTATAGTCTCCTCCAGATATCTGCCAAAATACTCATCCCCACTAAGTTGTCAATTAAGTAACAGCAAGTTATTTTTCTAACTTAAAAGGCAGCACTCCATTGTCCTCTCTGCATGATTGCAAGAGCCCTGCTGAGAGAGCATGTGTCTCTCCAAATACTTCCATATTTAGGATGTACAAAACCTTATTAAAACACACATCCTCTTTTATTAAATAGACTGGCAGGTAACGTCGGTCGTGCTTGTTGGGGATATTGCATATAGAGCCACGTTATACCAGCTTCAGTCTCTGATCTCCTATAATCACATGAAATAGTCAATGAACAGATATATTGCTCCCATCAGAGCAGTAATATAGTTTGGGGTTTTTTTCTAGACAGGAGTTAAGACACTGTTTTCAGCCTTTACACTTCTTGTTTGAGCGTAATTACCTGTCACTGTCACACTCAGTCCTGGTCTTTTCTCGGTAAAACTTGCAATGTCTTAGGGCTTTCCTAATATTCATGAATTTACGCTTTTCTTCTCTCTGATTTTGAGATGATGTAATCATGGCTATAAGTCAGGAGTTACTTGGACAAAGAAATACTAACACCAGGAAATTACAAGTATGAGCTGTGTCAGTGTATTTGTTCAGCAGAGCAAGGAAAACCATATTCTCATGTCTCTTACTAGAACAACTCTTTTCACTTTACCTAAATTAGCTTGTTCTGCTATTTCAGTGTAGTTTGGACTTCTCTAGAGTTTGATTTTATTTAACCTATGGCAGAAATAAGGTTCCTCTAGGGAATTTAAAGTTTCTTCCTTTTTTAAATTTTTCTTTTTAAATATAGATCCACAGCTTGGTAAAAGGTTTACTGCCATGAGATACTATTACAAGCAAAAACTTAACTGTTCTCAAGAAAGAAAATAAAAGCCCTATTGGGTTCCGAGCATGAAAATTGTTGAGGTCAGAAATAAATGTCTTCCCCAGGCATATTATTCCATCATTATTTGCTGGAGGGTTTCCCAGACACTCCTTGGAAAAATAATTTACTACTAGACATGGGCAGAAGAAGAACTCTTTCTTCACCAGTGAGCAGTGAACACAAAAAAGAATCAGAGTTAAATTCTGACTTTCCAATGTTTCCACGTTAAAACAAATTCAAAGACTTTGGGGTCAACGTTCCAAATGTGCAAGCACCATTTTAGAAAATTTGTGGGAACGCATTCTGTACATAGATATCTCAAAATGCACAAGAAGTGCCTCACCAATCATCACAGTTACATCCCTTATACCTTTTTCTACCAGAGTCAAGATGCCTGCCTTTGAAATTTTGTCCAAGGAGCACATCACCTCACAGTGCACAGCACTGCTCGCCCTCCAAAATCGGGACACACTTTGGGAACACTGAGTAAGCAGTGCCTTTAAAAGGGAAATGCTGGCTTGGAGTTCAGCCCCTTGCTTTCCAAAGCAACAAGTACATATGTTCATTACTGCTGAATGGGCAGAACCGATGACTTGTTAATGACTCTCTGTAACTTGTACTTAATATGCTAATCTTGCTCAGAAACACGAAGGCAGCAACACCATTGTTTACACAGCAGTGATTAAATGGTAGCTCAAACAGTAATGAAAAAACAAGACTGAAGCAGCACAGGCTTTTAACTCTTCTCTCACCCTATCTTTAGCTTTTTGTTATTTCTCACTAGTTTACTCACATTAGATGCTAGAGACCAGATGTTGCAAGGTATGGACAGAGGAACTGAAGGTGTGAGTCTTCATCAGGAGAGGCCTTAGAAAGAACGTTGGCCAAACATACATCAGGAAAGACTCCAAAATGGCTGATTCTGCCATGGGGCTGGACCTTGTGACAGTGGGATTCACTTTCCATCCTCTGGTTCTGAAGTTAGCTGAGAAACACTCAGACCAATGGCACAGCCTGTGTGCTTCCACTTCTGCGACTACCTGAGTGAAATGCTTCTGAACAGTGTTCATAATCAAAATAAAACTTGACTGTAAAGTGGAGGAGCACTGAAGTTGTTTATGTGTGTATATATATGTATCTGTATAAAAGCCTCCTTAGAGTGCATCCTTTTTTTGGTGTGTATGCATGTATATATACATATACATACATACATATATATATATATATAAAAATATGTACTATAAGGAGGATTTTATAAATTTCTCCACAGGAAGATAACAGAGTAATGAGCAAGGCACTCCTGTCATACTGGTACTAACATTATTAATGGATACTGCACCAAAAGATGAGTGGCTGCAGCCACAGAAACATGGATAGTATTAAACAGATTGCGCATAAGCTTAAATATCCTGTACAGAAAATGTATTATCCACATAGATTTCCCTTTCTAACCCCCCTGAAAAATGTAGGGCTAAGATGTCTGTTAAAGATCAAAAAATGAAAACAAAGTGGCCAAAGAAGAACTTCAGGTTTACCATCTAAATACTGTACCTCAACCGTTTACTAACTTTTTGGATGGAAAATGTTCTCATAACAGTACATTAGGGATGTACATAAATTCATGATATGAACAAACAAGACCTGAAATGATTTGACAAGTGATCACAGCATATCAGTGGAGGAGTTGGGAACAGAAATACTGCTTCCTCATTTGAAATGCAAGGTGTGACTTCTGCAGTAAGAATTCTGTTATTAAAAATCTCCATATGCTCATCTGCTCAACTCTGTAGCTCTACATCAGTAAGTCAAGATACATCAAGTGTTTGATTTTTCAAAAAGACCTGTGGTTGTTCAGCACTTCAAGGGAGGAAAAAATAAAAAAATTTTAAAAAAAGGAAGAAAATGAGACAGGGACAGAGGAAGTCTTTGTTAGATCTGGGTTTCAACTCAGACACCTCTGGCTCATGTTTCAATCAGATCATGCTTTTTTGTGTTAGCTAGACGAGCACAAGCTCTTTAAAAGCTCCACTGAATTTCTACAGTTAACAGAGGAATCTACATTTCTGCAGCCATGTAGTTCTTCCTCCAATTTAAAAACAAACCAAAAAACCCCCCAAAAAACCCCAGGCCATTTTCCTTCAGAAGTTCCCCTTATCCTTCACAGAAGAACTTATTCTTTGGAGCAGAGAAACTGATGCGCTTCTTTCAGCGTTGCCTGCATGTCCTCATACTCTGCCAATTTGCAAGCATCCTCCAGCTTCAGCCACTGGAAAGCCTGGTGCTCCTCCGACAGCTTGATTTCTGTGTTGCAGTCCTTCACTTCTGCCAGCCAGTAAACCACAGTCTTGGGTTTGCCACGGACAGGGTAGTGCAGCTCCTTCCTGTAGCCCTCTACGAGGGTGAGCTGGCTGGCCTGCAGACCAGCCTCCTCCTGCGTCTCCCTGAAGGCTGTCTGCAGGTCATCCTCCCCTGGGTCCACGTGGCCTGCCAAGAGGGTGGAAAAGTCAGTCTCTGAGAAGGAAACTTCCAGTCAGCAACTGGGAAACACTGGGAGGCAGAGATGGGAGCACACTGCAGCTGATATGGGATGAAACGGAAATTGGGAGAGCAGAGATTGCTTTTCCAACTCTTATGTCTTGATTTGTCTTTGCCTTCTGGCTTTTAGGATCACTGTTTACCCCAGTTTCTGAAACCCCCAGTGGCCTGGCAGCACTAGACATGTTTTCTTCCCAGTCCTCCTCTCCTCTTCTGGAGCACTTTACACCTGTTCCACCTTAGATTATACTGAGGACTGAGTCCAACTCATGAATGTTTTTCCTTCATCCTGTTAGAGGGGAGACTGCTCATCTGTAAGAGTCTTATCCTCTCTCAACCCTGCCCTCCCACATAAGCTTAAGGCTCAGTTCTGCAAAACTCTCACTCATGCCAACAGACCAGAAACAACGGGACCAGGCACCAACAAATGCCCATTTAAAAGGTGAGTTTCATTTATGCAGTCAGCATCTTTTTATTTTTTTTAATTTTTTTTTTAATTTCTCTCCCATATTCCCCCATGAATACTCTCTCTCCCGTATTGCCTCTCTGAATCCTCAGAGCCAGTCCTTTCACCAGCTGTGTGGTTCTCCTAAGACACATCATTTATTTTACGTTGTCAGAACGAGAGGTGCCACTACAAACAACGGATAAATATAACACATCCCCAGCCGTTTGTACTTTTGTTGAGAAATGTCGGATTTGGTTTTCTCATGAAAGCTCCAGACCAGAACATAAATAGAACAAGCCAAGCAAGACCTCAAAAAAGCAACATAGCAGGAGTTGGGAGGTTTCAAAAGGGAAAAAAAACCCCCTAAGCTTTATTTTGCCTCTGCTGTCACTCAATTTTCTACATAGCTGGCTGCAAATAGCTGTAATTTAATTACAGAGATGAATTTGGGTCCCAGGTACCCAAAGGCCCACTCTAGTACTACAACTGGGGTATGTGAGAAGTTGGTTTTGCTTTTGCAACAGGTCTCACTCGCTTCTTTGTCTGTGCACCAGAAGTTTAAATACCTCTTACAACATAACACCAACTCAAACGCAAAATATGCTTCTCTTACAAGCAGCAACTGTGCAGAAAACAGTATCTGATGTTGATATCTGTTGATAACCTCAGATATAAGCTCAGTAAGTTTCCAGGTTGCACAGTGCAGTCTACCTGCTGGGGAGGAAAAGGACTGGTGGTAGCACCTCACACCACAGCTTTCAGATCCTCCCAGCTGTTTCCACTGATGCAGTTCCAACATACTGAGGAGGAAAACAAACCCCACATCCCTTTCCCTTCCCATCAGCCTTGGCTAGTGCAAAGTCACAGTTCTAGGGGCAGAGATGAGGCTGATGAGGTTCACATGGGGAAATCCAAGCAAGTCCAGTTTAATCCCATAGGATTGCAGCTGCTTAGGGAATTTTTAAAATAACAAGGTACAGCTGTAGCTGTAAACTGCCTTTCGTGTGTGCTTGGAAAGACAATTACAATGTCACCTTCTGGCTCCTGCCACATTGCATCTACGTCAACATCACAGACAAGTTATGTACATAGGTAGATTCAGACTACAGACAAGAAAGACTTTTTTTATCATGAGAATGGTGAAAACACTGGCACAGGCTGCCCAGAGAGGTGGTGGAAACCCCGTCACTGAAAACATTCAAGGCCAAACTGGATGGGCTCTGAGCAACCTCGTCTAGTTGAAGATGTCCCTGCTCACTGCTGGGTGGTTGGATCAGATGATCTTTAAAGGTCCCTCCCAACCCAAACAATTCAATGGTTCTGTGATTCTGAGTGTGTGAGACGTATGCCCACAAGACAATTAACTCCCTATCAAAATGCCTCCAAGTAATTTCAATTGCTTCTCCAGAATTACTGTGTTCCCAGGGAGCCTTTTCACGTGGGTCTCTTCTCACAACAATCAATCGTGTTTTTTAGTTTTCTGGTTTTCCATTAGGCTGCAAACTCAACTCCCTTAGGCTTTTGGTGAAGTGGATAAAGGGGGAGGTTTGGAAAGTTTTGTTCTTTCCCTTAATAGGAGAGCGTAGTTGGTACTGTTAAAAGATTATTTTTTTTCCCAATTTGCAAATTCCCATTTACAGACTGCTGCACTAGGCTTTAAAAGCACTGCATTTTACAAAAAGATAAGTAAAACCTAACAGGAACAAATCTCGGAGGGTAAAAAACAGCATGTAAGAAGATCTGCAAGGAACCTGAAGTATTTCTGTGCTGCACTTTTCCTGGTTATCAGGGCTGTGACTGCGTACTGCCAAACACTGGCTCTGCCACCTCTCTTTACAGAGGAGGTGATGCTCTTTGTCCTGGGGCTTGTCTTCTGCTTTGGGACCTCTCTGATGAGCACTGATGGCTTAGGCGAAGACAGCTGACAGGAGAATTGACCTTATCTGTGCCTCTCATCTCCACTGCATTAGGCATGCGATTTTCACCAGTGATGTCCCGAACTTACAAGGAATTCCTGCAACTTCCAGGAAAAGTGTTTTAAAGTGTACCATTGCAGACTTCAGTTTGCCTTCTTGCAGACTGTGACCCCTCTGACTAGACACGGGTCAACCAACCTGGTCAGTGGTACCTGACAGAGGATCAGATCTGAGCAAAAAGGTAAAAATTTCACTTGCTACCTCAGTCGTGTGCTGAACGCCTGCCAGAAACATGAGATACGTGAGGAGCACGACTGGGTGTCAACCCCAGCCCCAACAGAAATTAGTGGTGCCCAATACCTTATACAGTATCCTTTGCAAATGACTTAAGCGTCAAAACTCCCCCTGCTGCTTCAGGAGCAGGAGCATGAGACAAACACCACAATCAGCAGCTACTCTGGGCTGGTAACTGCCTCGCTAAGTTGAGCTCAGCAGCACTGGGCCAAAGTCCAGTCTGCAACCTCACACCAAGAGTGTTATCAGAACAAAGTGTGTTATCAGAACAAACATCACCTTTTGGCGGGGTCCAGTGGTGGGTCCCGTAGGATGTCTGCAGGAGGAGGTACTCGATGCTGTCAGCGACCTTGGAGGACGGTGCTGGCTGCAGCCGCCTGTAGATGATCAAGCCACAAGCTCTCACAGCCATTCCCCCTCTGCCAACTGCACCGGGAGCTGCGGGACAACACAGGGGGATCAAGGAACAACACAAAACATGGAGTTCAAACAGATTATTTGTATCTAGCCAGCAAATGTATCTCAGCAGAGCTAAAAGTTGTCCACCCCCTTGTAGTTACTACAATGTAGTTGTAATATTTGCATCTTATTAACTATCTTTGAAATGTAAAAAACCAGAATCCTTTCCTTTTAAAACAGGAACCTATATAAAAGCTTTTTAAAAAAGAAAAAAGTTATCAAGAAGCATGAAATGTGACCTACATGACATTTCTTTGCTGTTGATATATTATGGTATATTACAAACAATATCGCAGGGAGGGAAAACAAATTATAAAGCAAAAGCAAAAAGGAAAGCCTCTTCCACTGCAAAAATTGGAAGGTCCCATGCAGAGATAATACTTCAACATTACTGGAACTGGCATACAAAAATAATTGCCCCTGTAGCAAAGAAGTCCTTAGGATGTCAGTGAGAAAATGAATGGCAAAGGACAGGCTCTCTGCTGTCTGGGCTAGAGATAAATCTGTTATACAGAACTAAAAGTTTCTTGGCATGTGTATTAAGCACTAATTTGATGTAAACAGTAAAGGAACACACCTCTCAAGTGATAAATACTGTCATCAATAAGCCACGCAGCCGGGATGTCTGGTCCTATACAGAAGGAGAGGGAAAGCGATGGAGATGAGTCATCCACGTTAAAGGTCTGGGAGATTCCCAGTTCCAGGCAAAGCCTTGAATTTTGACAGAGATGCACACTTCAACAAATAATAACTTTACACAACACTGATCTTCCCTGGGACGCCAAGCGCGGCATCGTGTGACACCTCCAGATTCCAGTGCGGGATAAACCACAGCATGGAGCCCTTCGCCAACACCCACGCCCCTGGACGGCGCTCAGCTCTCTTGGTCAATCCCTTTAACCGCTTCCATTAGCTTCCGATCAGCCACGACAAGGACAAACCCCCTCGCCGGCCCCCACCAGCCCGGGGGACCAGCCCGGGGGACCAGCACCACCTCCCGTACGCGCCGGGAAGGACAAGGACAAACCTCTCCAGGCCTCCCACGCCGCTGCTCGGCGCCCCGGGGCCGCGCTCCCATCCCCGCCCCCCGCCCGCACAAGGTCACCCGCCGTGCCCAGGGAGGGGGAGAGGTGTGGTGGGACACGGGGAAGCGGGACGGGGAGAACCGGGACACGTGTCCCCCCAAGCGGCCACCATAGCCCCCCACCCTCACCTGCGCTTCCGGGTCCCAGAGTGGGCGGGACGCAGCGCACGACTGACGGCGGCTATAACCAATGACAGCGCCTCCAGCGCGGGCGGGAACCACTCCCGTCTCGCTCCGCCCTCTCTCTCCCCGCTCCCGCTCTCATTAGGCCCCGCCTCCTTTGCGTTAAGGTCTCTGATTGGTCTCTCACCGCCAGGCCACGCCCTGCCCGTCCCTCTCCCTTCTTCCTATTGGCTGGCTGGAGGCGCGAGGCTGCGCGCGGGCGTTTGAAGCGGGAAAAGCGTTGTTGCCATGGAGACACGGCCCAATGGCCGCCGCCGAGCGGCGCCGCGGCCCGTGAGGGAGCGAGGGGGGTCCCTGCCCTGAGGGGACCGGGGCGGCCGCGACCGGGGAGGGCTCCCGCAGCACCGCCCTGCCCGGCCCCGGCGCGCTCTAGAGGGGGGGAAACCGTGGTGGGACAGCGCGGGGAAGGATGAGAGGAGATATCCCCCCTCGGTCAGCCACGCGGTGCAATTCCGGACGCGCGGAGGTTTGTTTCGATACATTATTATAATTGTAAACCAAAATTTTTAAAATAGTATTTTCTTTATTTTATATTTTCTATATTTCACATTTTCTATATTTTATATGTAATATATACAATATTTAAACATACTTTTAAAGTACATACTTAAATATTTTATTTATATTATATATAATATAGATATCAGTGTATAACATGTATTATATAAGCATACATACTTATGTAAAATGTATACAAATATAAAAATATTTAAATACATATTAAATATAAATATTTAAATATTCATTTAAAATCCATATATATGCATTATATAAAATATCAGAACACTTTATAATATATATTATGTATTTTACGTATAACATATAAACTATATTTCGCGTATTTTGTATATTTTATTATAAAAAATTAAAATTATAAAATAAAACCTCAGGAGCCGTTTGGTAAATCCTGCTGGCAGGAACAGCTCGGGGGAGGTTTTCAAATAATCATTTTCCCGATATAACTCGTGGGTTATTTTCTCGGCACATGGATGGATATTGGACGCTTCCAGTATCCAATATTCCAATATGGGACACTTCCCCTCTCTGTGCAGCTGTTCTTGGCAGCTGTTGGGATCAGCTGCAGGACGGAGCCTCTTCTGCTGAGGTCACCAGGCTATACTTAGTGTGGAGGGAGGATTAAAGTACCCCAAAATACTCTCTTAGGGACCAAAAAAAACCCCCAATATTTAGTTGTTTTTAAGCCTGCTTTAAGAAGCGAGGACATTAATTGTAGTTTTAGTGACCTGCTCTGGGTCAGGTGTGTCAGTGGCAAAGGAAAGGGGAGCATTGCTGACCTGTGTCATTGTCCAGCTGTAAAATAGTTGTCATTTAGCATTAAAAGCTTTCCCTCCTCTCCAGTTACTTTTGCTGTACTGAGGCTGAAAGTGGCTATCTATCTATTCAGAAGGCTGCCCCAACACTTGTTCTAAGAAGGGGCAGGATGTTTAATGCCATGTTGTTTACGTGCACAGAGTGGAGTAATCCTATGATCTTCCAAGGGGATCTGCTGCAACGTCAAACACGACCTCACAGCTCCTACCTGCTGCATTGAACTAAAATTATGGACTCCTTTTACAATACAGATTATCTCTTGTTGTGGAGCTTGTCTTTATAAAAAGTGCAACACACCCTGACCCCATTCTTTGGAGGAATGCCCTAATTCCTGAGAAACGGGGTCAGAATGATTTAAAGGTGAAGCATTTTGTGTGGTGCTCTGGAAAAGCAAATTAGCCATTCACTTCTGGAGGGCTAAATCAGATTTGGCTTCGGATCACAGTTAAAGAAAGAGCTTAATGCTCAGATGAATAAGGAATAACGATGGATGAGTGTTGACGTGGGTTAATGTGATTCCCTTTTCCCTATTGTGTGATTGCCAGATTGGCTTCGTTCTGGTCTCTGCTCCCGTGTTTGAAAGACCAGGCAACACTTTGGCATGGACAGAACCTGTGCTGGAGTCTTTTTTGAGGGGGACATGGTTACAAGTAGTGAGCGCAGCACACTGCTGTGGTTCTGATCAGGAGAGGAAACACCTACCTGCTGCACACGTTTACAAACTTTGCAAGTTTTTAACTTTTATTTGTAGAAGTATTTCTAAAGCTAAATGATCTGGATGGAAAACAAGGTGGTGTTTAGGTTTTGGACACTGATTAACAATTTCTTCATTTATCAAATACCCTTGAAAATCATGCCTAATAAACCTGTTTAGTGATCAGGCCAGAGTTTATGATTCAGAATGATTGCCCTAGGTTATTTGCAGGATTGAATGTACAGCAGCATTAGTTTGCATTTCTAGGAGTGTCACATAAGATTTCCTCACTTTTCCAAGGCTTAGTTTCCGTAGTTTAAAGTATGGATATAGTGATACTTGTGTCGTTTCTCAGTGGTGGCACTCAGGACTGTCAGTGGCAATAATCTAAAATTCCCAGGTCAGTGTGAGTGAGCTACAGCGGGATAACCGGGCACATGAGTGTTATTCAGGTGAACGCTGCACTGAGATCACTGATATATCAGAAGTTAATAAGGATCAAAATATAGTGGTCCAAGGCTGATTATTCTTAAAATAGCCCACGTGGGGATTTTATGTGATTTATTTTACACATAGTGATTGACACTCTGAGTATCTTTGAAGAACCAGCCTTTTCTCCACTTTGAAAAGTGCATTGAGAAGGAGAAGATCAGCTCTGTGAAAGAGCTTATTAATAATTAAAAGCCTTTTAAAATGGAGAACCAGCTCATAGAGCATAATTTTGTGGTAAGGCGATTTCCTGCAGAACAGAAAAATGTAACCACTCCTTTCTGCTATTTACACCTGACTTTTTTTTCTGCAGCTTTATGACATTTAAAAACCTCTAATGCTGAAACAGAGGATGAGCTCTCTGATGACAAGCTGTGATCTAATTCTGTGGTTAGACCTAGTCCCTTTATACATAATTCTAGTACCTTTTTACAACAACTACTCGTCCATTACCAGCATCTGGCAGCCTTTTAAGATCTCTGTAAAACTTCTTGGCCTAAGAAATAATTTGCAGAGCACTTGGGTTTGCCACATAAAGATGGCAGGCTGGGTGTGCATGGAGAATTGTTCTTCCACAGTGACCCACCTCTTTATCAAGATGTGTTATATCCAACTATTTTAAGAAGTCTTAGACTTTTATCTCAACCCTGTTTTCAGTGAAGTCACTCATAGCCTTGGGGGGAACGAGACCTAGGTTTGGATATGAAACTACCACACTGAAGAATGTTATATTTTTCTGCCCCAGGAGACATCGTTCTCTCAAGGGAACAAACAAAATTGGATCCTTACAATAACTGAGGGAATGCTGGCTGGTATTTATTGTATAAGAGTCAAAAGCCTTATCTTTTTTTTGCCAGAAGATGGCATTAAAAATCTAGAGTTCTTGAAAACCTCTTCTTAGTTTCTGCAAAGCCGATTTATTTTGAAGGACTGTGTATCTGTTAGGAAAAGCGTCTTCAGACACAAAGTGTTGGATGAATTAAAGTATTCTTTAATGAGGAGAAAGGAGGCTTTTTTTTTTTTAGGGCATCACTGAAAGGCCAGAAAGATTTCACTGACAACTGCAGTTCTCTCTGAATTCTCTCCTGTATGAACCAGACCAAATCTTTTAGAAATTGTCTCCTCTCACGTTTTAAAGCAATCAGAAATGCTGGAACCTGTCATCATAATGACTGATTAATTTTTTTCCCCATGGCTAATTAATTTGTTACTCCTTAATTAGTGAATGTTCCATTTTCCTAGGTTGTGAAATTCCTTTTTGTGGATGGGAAGTCATTGGAGTTATCCCCTGAAACCACTCACATCCAGTAAGACTTATTATATCTGGGAAGGCAGATCTCAGCTTTCATTAAGAGACCAGCCCTCATTAAGAAGCCATTTAGTTGCTTTCACATGGCAACAGACCTTAGCAATTAGCCATGCAGAGCTGCTTACATGGCTCAGTATATCCTTCTCCTCTGTTCTGCAGTTCCTACATTACTTGGAGTTTTCTCATTTTGAGAATTCTTGCCACTTGTTACTCTGTATAAACATATTTTGTTTAATTTTTAATTAGAACCTTGACCTTCAAATTCATAGTTCTCTCCCCTTGTCTGCTGCTCCTTTTTTAGGAAGCGTCTCCAGTTTTTCCCCTTTTTTCCTTTCTTCTCTGTGCTGTGTTCAATTATAATTCAAACTGAGGTTAACACTGAATTAGTTCTTGCGCTGGGCTTTGGCCACTCTGTGTTTAACATAAGGATATATAAAAATATAGGTGTAAATTAGGATACAGATAGACAGTAGAGAAAATAAATTTGTCGGATTATTTTTAACAGATTCTCAGTACTTTTGAGATTGGTGTCTTGGCTTTGAGTTCTCTCTGCTCCTTTCATCAAGCGGGAGTTTCCCATGGCAGTGCATAGAGAGAGTTGCACAGGACCTGTACTGGTTTTACATTTTAAGCCATCTTATGTAAGAAAGGGAATTTTTACGAGACATAACTCTTCTTTAAATGAAGTCTCAGGTTCCTGTGGAATTTTATCTGCTAGAGAAGTTGGCAAGTTGTGAATGCTTGTGAAACCCTTGCACGTCTTCGTGTTTAGCCTCCCTGATTTCTGGGTTTGCTATCCTCCCTGTCAATTTTGATTCACCCCTCCCAGGATCTCACAACCTCAGCAGTGACTCTGACTTTACCTCCAGATTCAGGATCACATTACATACACATTAAATAAATCCAATTACATACCAATGCTTTTGTCTTGAAGTTTGTCGCTGCTCAATCTCAGAATTTTATCTACAGCATAGACTCTAACTTCTAAGTCATTTTAGATGACCTCTACTGCACCTTTTGACTTTTGTAATGTCTTATACAATAAGCACTTTATATTAATCTTTTTCATTTTGTTGTTATTATTACTTCAACATAATGTATTAATTAATGATGTGGACTCAAAGTTGAGGGTGATATTTGGTGACCTTATTTTCTTAAATAATGTATTGTAGAGAAGCTTGAAAATCCTCACAAAGAATCTACCCTGAATTACAGGGAGAAAAACTTAGGTCTTAAATAACTTGATTTTGTTGAATCTTATTGTATTTTCCAAAAATTGATAAGATCTGTAGTTGCTGAAGTCCTAGACCGTACAAAGATATAAGAAGACAGTGGGCAACAGATACTTGAAGTGCTATCATTTTTCCGTTTTGTGGAACAAGTAAAAATATCTGCAGATATTAATCCATCTGGATACAGACAGCTGCACAATGCATTGCCAGTGAGACATGAGTGAAGAAGTTGAGGGTTTTTTTGGCATACCTTTCAGTGATGCATGTTGCTTTTTCGGGTTTACCGAGAACACAAGTGTGGCGTTCCAGTGGCCCATGTAGATTTAGAGAAATCCTGTGTTTCAGATTTCAGAGAATGTTTGGGTTATTCTGCCAAGGAGACTCGGAAATGCTCACAAGATTCATGACATAAAAGAGAAACCTACATTGCAAAACTACAGCTTTGCTATAGTTCATCTGTAAGACAAATGGTCTTAATTAGGCACCTTGAAGTGAGGAACAAATGCAGGTTTTTTTCTCCAGGTTTTTTTATCCAGGGCTAGCTGAACCACATTAGACCACATGCCTTTATATTAATTTGAGTGTCTTCTAAAATTAGGCATTTTACATTCTGCAGCTTGAGGACAGGGTTTCAGTAGCTGTGGCATTCATCAAGTAGACATCAGGCGTGTAGGAACTCAGCAGCAGTGAGTAACTTTGCCTTGTGCATTTCTTACACATTGTGTACTGTATATAATTTTGAAATATAATTTGATAGATAAAATACAGTTGTTTCATGTTTTAGCTTATTGTTATTGCAATATTCTGTAATGTTTAACAGTCTAGTGTATTATAGACTTGGAGTTAAACAAGCTTCTAGCCTGACTGGCTAGGAGGAAATGGCATTGTGGAAATGTGCAGTCTCTTCATTAGTAACTTTGTCAGATGTGATGTTTCATATGACTCTAATGTTTATTTTGTTTGATTTCTTTTAGACTTTGTCTTGAAGATGGCATCATGCCTTTATAAATGCCTTTGTGAGGCAGACCTTGAAAAATACTATCCCCATTTTGCTGCCTTTGGTCTTCAGAATATCGATGAGCTTGCCAAAGTTTCCATGGAAGATTACACCAAACTGGGGGTCCATGACATGAACGACCGCAAACGGCTCTTTCAGCTCATTAGAATAATCAAAATTATGCGAGGGGAAAGCGTTGCAGACTCAAGCAAGCAGGATTTTCAACCACGTGGCCTTTTCATTCAGCCCCAGGTGGCCAGGTCAGGTCCCCGTAGGCAGCTGCGTTTTGAGTCCTTCTTTGAAGAGAATGATGGAACAGTTAAAGACTCTGAGCCCGAATTATATCGTTCATCTGATTTCAGTGCCAATGAAGAGAAGGACAATGCAGGGGAAATGTTGGGACACATTCAACCACAGGACTCAGAGCCAATCAGATTAACTAGAAGGGACCTAAATACTCCTGGAATATGCATGAAAAAGGACCTGAGCTGTCCAACGGTTTCTGATGATATTGCCCCTCTCCTGGGGGATTCTGAATCTCCTATTGTGCAAAGAGTAACTCATATTTCAGGGTATAATTACGGACTACCTCATTCCTGTATCAGGTAATGATCAGTCACCTTTATTTTGCTAATGTTTCAGGTTAGTCATAATTAATTCTTTCTTAATTGTGGAGAAGGATCTGTCCAAATAAGCAATCCCAGCACTACAGAGCAGTGCAAAATCTTGTAGACAAAGGAGGGATTAATAAGCACTTGCAACTCTCCTTCCTTGTAGAAGGAATCATCTGAATTTGACCAGCTGCTACTCACCAGGTTGTCTAAGAATAGTCTTTATCTTTCAGGATATAAGGCTTTGTTTCCTTGGTGTTTTGGCCAATCTTTGTCTTTCCATGAGACCATCTTTTAAAACATTATTTTGCCAAAAGATAGCATTGTCTGTTGTCAGGTTTGTCAAGCTTTTCCCAGTAGAAAGGATACACGCTGTGATGGCTATATTTGTTTCTAATGGAATTTCTGAACTGAAACTTTAAAAGGAATCAGAATGAGAATTCTGGGGTGGGTTCATGGTGGTAAGAGGGATGCCTTGCAGCTGCTCCCCAGGATCATGATCTGTAACTTCCATACTTTTCCTGGTGTTTGGTAACAGAAAGGGTATGATTATCATGAAATCTACCCTGGCAACATTTTTAAAGCACCAAATATTTTTTCCTGATGCAGCATCAGAACTCCTCTGCACACAAAATACCAGTATCTTGGTCATTGCAGTGCAGTCATGGCATTTTTGTTTTAAAATGCAGGGAGGAGAGACAGCTGTATGAAGTTGGAGCTTGTCTATGTTGGCTGTGGGAAAAGATTTGGTATATGAGAGGATCCATGGAGTCGAGGTATCAATTACAAATCCCACTGAGAATGCATGTAGCCTGGAGAAATAGTTGCTGCTGCCACAGTGGAAAAATGCTAAGGTGACATAGTATTAGGGCACTTAAACTGTGAAATGTAAGGCATTTTATAACACGACAGTTTATAGCTCTCCTTTGCTGGAAAAAAAATCATTCCCACCTTCCAGAGAAGTGCACTAACCTCCTGTATATATTGACATCATGGTGCATTCTCTGTCTCTTCTGGAAGTTGAGCCAAGTGCAAATAAAAGGACAGGATTTATAGTGCTGGCACATAAAAAATGCTAAAATATAAAACCTAATGGCTCAGCTAGAAGAGTTCAAGATTTTTAATCCTGCTATAGTCTTCATTGTTGTCACTTTCTTCTGGTTTTTTCCTAAGTACATTTTTCTGTGCCTAGCATTATACTTCATCTTGTGGGCTTTCTGCATTCTCCTCTTGATATGTCTCAATTCCCTCTTCTCCTGTTTGGAGAGTTGTGCATTTCAGGCTTGGGCCAGTCTTGGGTTTGTAATTCCTGTTGGCAAGACACTTGGGTTTGTAATTCCTGTTTTGCAAGTGCCCAGCTGCTTCACTGAATCCATCCATTCCCATGTCACCTTGTGATCTGGCCACTGTGAAGGCTAATCTAGTCTCATCTATGAGAAATATTGGAAAACACTGACATGATTTCAGATGGCAGAAAGATATAGAGTTTTTTTAATGTTTAAATTTATTTTGCACTTGCCCACGGCAAATGGCTTGATTTTGACAGGGCATAGTGATCCTTCTGACCTGTTATCTAGTCAGGTTTCTAATGATCTGTGTCAAGACTTTTGTTTGGGGTTTTTTTCTGGTAATAAAAATTATATTGCATTATGAAATACAATTTATATTTTGAAAAGGTTGGTAGGAATTACAAACCTCAGGTTTAGCATATATAATTAACATGCATTCTGTTCCCATACAAAATATACTTAACTAAATGTGTCTGTGTACCAGAGAGAATTTATGCCTTTTTGCTCATTGCCAGAGCCTCCAAGTCTTCAGTTTTTCCTTTCTCCAAATTTTGCCATCACCACTGCCTCCTTCAAGCTCTTAGAGCACAACAGGGTCTTTCTGCAGGTCACTAAATCCAGCCTCTGACTCAAGAATTGAACTTCAGAGCCGCTGGTCATTTGTTGCACAACATTTGGTGCCAAGTGATACCCATAAGCTCACATCCACTTATGAAGCCTCTTATTTCAAGTATCACTGCCTTTCTTTTCCAGGGGAGGAATTTTCCACTTAAAAGCAGGGCCTGGGCCTGGTCTGCATGGGAGAGCTGCACTAAAATTAAATGGAATCCAGTTACAAGTGAAGATTGTAACTGGTGTGTGGTCTTCGAAGACCATGTCTTGAAATTTGTATCTGTCATGTGCTTCTGGGGAATGGAGCAGCACAACAGCAAGGATACCACAAGCTGGTAGCTGTAATGAGATGTTGAGTAATTTCTGGGTTTGATTTCAATTTATTAGACAACTGGAATGTGTTGGTTTTCAGTTGCCACAGTAAGAGATTTTGGCATTCGGACAGCATGGCAGAAACACAACTTTTGGGCAAGTTGGGGCTTGATTAGTTGAAACTCAAATCCAGGCTGAAAATCATTACTCATTTGGCTGAAGACAGCTTGAAAAAGGGAGAGGTATAATGAATACATTATTGTTAAATTCAAGCCTGTTCTTTATGCTGCATCACAAAATGCTTTACACAGCAGGTTAATCAATGAATCATGAAATGACCTTTGTTTCTGAGGTGTCTGGAAGGGAACTAAAGTAGACTTGCCAAAACATAAGAGCACAACTTTGTCAATGGTCTGAAACCACGTAACTTTTTACGAAAAAAAGACCAAAGGGGAGACAATGACAAGTTTCAGATTTTTTTGAGCTGAATAGGAACATTGTGATGCTGTCTTATTTCCCAGTTTGGGTCATTTACTTGTAACCTGTTTGACAGTCTATAATGGGAAGAATGACAATCCAGCATAGGAGGAAAAGCATCTAAATATTATACCTTCTCCTTTTCAAGATCTATTCATACTTTTATCTGTACGTTTTTAAGTGACTAATTGTGAATGCAAATAATTTCAGCAAGATTAAATTTCATTATGTTAACTTACATATTATGCCATCTTCCATCACATATTTTGTGCAACTGAAAAGATGCCAGTCCAGCAACAAAGTCAGGAATGTGGCTGTACAAACTCAACTTTTCTTTTAACAGGAGTGAACAAAAGGCATCAGCCTATTTAGGAAAAAACATCAGAAAATTCACCATGTAGGAGTGAGGTGTGTCATGGAGTTTTTTGATAAGCATTAAAGGCAGAAACATTACCTGATAAAGCTGACAAATTCAGGCATATCCTAGATTCTGTTGTAACCTGGTTTTAAAATGTAAACCTACACTATTGTCGTAGATCCAACACTTCTGAGAAAGAGACTCCGTGGACAGAGAGTGAGAAAATCAGAGTGTGTGTCCGAAAACGTCCTCTAGGCCTGAGGGAGGAGCGACGGGGGGAGGTGAATATCATCACAGTGAAAGACAGAGAAACCCTACTGCTCCATGAGAAGAAGGAGGCAGTTGATCTTACACAATATATTTTACAGGTAACATACTCCACTGGAATGTTGAGTTTATGGGCTGGTCACGTGTGTGGAAGCATGAAGCATCTTGTGCTTGGAGTTTCCATGAGGGAAAACAGAGAAGGGCTGTCAGCATTTCTTACACTGAGATAGATGGTGGGCTTTTCTTCTGATTTATGCCAGCCTGTGGCAGAAAACCTGTGCCTGGAATTTTAAGCTCTAGAAGTGTCTCTTGCAGCTTTCTTTGTATGTGACAAAATAAACCCTCTGCTATGTGCCATTGCTGCAGGAGAACTGCCTGCTGCAGAGCCCACTGATGGCTTCACAGGGTAGTGAGGAGTTCCTTTTCCACTGTTTCAGCACTGTAGATCTGTTTCAATGAATCACATACACCCTCATCCCCTCCATTCCATTGTTCTCAAATGCTCTTGAAAATTAAGTTCCCTTTTGGTCTTTGTTTCTTAATCCCGAATGCTTTTGCTGTCATAGTTCAAATTCTCCCTTTTGACTGACAGCACCAGGAAGAGAACTGATTTCTAGAGAGCAGCAAGCCATTCTCCCTCTACTGGGTGTTATTTTTACAGTCTGGGTCCTAGGAACAACTGTTTGGAGTAGCCAGTGAAAATCCAGTTTGCAGCTCTCTCGGGTCCTGTTCATGTGCCACATTTTATGGTGCAACACATGCAGCAACTCCACCCCAGTCCCTCCATCTGAGGACCTATATTTGGCATGTATGCAGTGCTTATCACCTTCACGTCTCGGTGCTGAAATAGCCATTAACTAATTTTGTTATGTCAGTACAAATAAATGAATTCTTGCTATCAATCAATATAGTCCAAACAAAAGTGTGCTGTGGCAAAGGCTGTCTCTACTCTGTAGGACCTAGGAGAACTCTTCTGCTTCCAAGTCTGGCTACTCACCCTGAATCCATCTCTGGTTCCTATAGAGAGGACAGCAAGGGGTACAGAGTAAATGGGAGGTGGTGGAGTATATTCCATCAACCAAACTTCAGGCCCATCACAGAGCACATGTGCCCTGTGAGCTGAGACACCCTGGTTTAATCTGCCTGTGCACTAGTGTGGTTGTTTTGTGCACTGTTGAAATGATTCTCAGTCCTAGAGATCTGCCACCTTAATTTACACTGCAGTGAGTTTATTGGAGTGCAGCGTTACACACCAGTTCACGAGCACTCTTGAAAAACTGATATTTGTGACCATCCCTACAATCACTACTCTTAACCTCATAATGAAGGAGCTCATAATGAACTCTGCTGCATCCTTTCCACAGACCCTGCTTCTTTGAGTCAGAGCTGGAGTGTGGGAAGTTTTGGGTTTTCTTGCCCCCTTCTGAGTTAATACAATCCAGCTTTGCCTAAGAACAGCTCCTCTCTTCTCTAGCACAAAAGTTTTTAAGAATAGAGGGAATTAATCACAACTTAGTCACAGCTGAGGACTAATTTTGAGAAAGTCAAGAGTTGACTCCAAGTTCTTTTTACTGTTATAGTCTTACTGTACATCTGTAGGCTGATTCATTTCATGAATAGGCTTTCTTTAATTGGTATTTTTTTATTCTCGTGGCGTGTTCTGCTTCAGAATGATGGGAAATCAAGGCATTTTTCTTCCCTTTAATTTTTTTTTCCCTATCCTGAGTCTCCTGATTGGTGTGTCCCTGCAATATGTCGTGCTGCATGTTAAGTGTGCTGGGTCACTCTGTGCTTGTTCCAAAGCCATATGAAGTCACTGGAAAGACTTCAGTTATTTAATTTTACCTTTGAGTGGGATTGAAGGGGAAGTAAAACGTGTTCATTTTCATGCAAAGATCATCTTTATTTTTCAGCATGTTTTTTATTTTGATGAAGTCTTTGGGGAGTCATGTACCAATCAGGATGTGTATATGAAGACAGCCTATCCTCTCATTCAGCATATTTTTAACGGGTAGGGCATCAGTGCTTACATTTGTTACTTTTTTTTGCCTTGGTTTTGCCTTGTTTTTCCATTTTCATATACTGCTTTAATTTTCCTTTATGCTTTTTATCTTTTGAAAAATGCATTCATTTCACCTTTGCTACATACCTTTCCCCTTTCAGAATGTCTTTGATTGCAATTTTGACAAAATAAATCAGGGAAAACTTTCTTCACACTTGGCGAGAAATCTAAATTACGGAGGAAGGTAAAATTGGACCTCAGGTGTAACCAAGAGACACCATGGCCAGCTTAGAACAAAAAAATGTGTCCCAGGATTTCTGAAGTCTAATCTTCACTCTAACAATCGTGTGGTGCACAGTCGTCTGTAGAGGAAATATGTTACTTCTTTCCTGGGACTGCTGAGAGATGTTTTTACGTGTATTTGTACAGTTCACAGGGCAATAGAAATTATTAATAACCTTGTGATTTATTTTTATTTTATTGATTTATATTTGCTTAGAGGTTTAATCATAATTACGTACTTCCTGATTAATGGGAAATTGATGGTGGTTTTATGTGAGCAGTCTTATTTTCATGCAAAGTAATGAGCTTGAATATAATTACGTTTTTCAGTCATAGAAGGAAAGGATTACATATCCGTCCTGAAAATTAACAAAGTGGAATATTCTGTTACTGAAAATCTCCAAGTGTCATCAGCAGAGAGAGTGTATCATGCTCCTGAGAAAAGGAAAGTGGAAAAAGGGAAAATGAGGCTTTGTCTTGCTTTGTAATAGTCACTAAAGCCACAATTCACATTACAGCTAATCTGGTAATGCCACCAGAATAGATGACACTGTTTTTTCCTCAGCTTTCCCTAACTTTTCTGTCCCTCCTGCTGCATCCCTTTCACAAGTGTTGGTCTAATCTGACACCATGATGAGCTAATTCTGCAATCTAAGCTGTTAAGAAATTGTTCACTATGCTCACTGCAGACCTGCATTTTTACCCACTATCTGCCAAGGTACTTACCCAGGTCAAAAGTCTTTTTTTTAAGGGGGACAGGGAAAGGAAAAGAAAGAAAGAGAGCCAGCACTCTGTGAGACATGAGATATCCATAGGATGTGCTTGGCAATAGTTGTTAAGTGGTGTGCAGTTTCCAAGAGAGGATGGCAAACCAAACCTCATTGCTAAGGGGCCACTGTAGATAGATACCAACACTGCAGAATCTTATTTAATAGATATGAATGAATCAGATGTGACACTAAACACATCAGTTATCTTCACAGAGGCAATGCCACCTGCTTTGCCTACGGGCAGACTGGTGCTGGCAAGACTTACACCATGATAGGAACTCACCGGAACCCGGGACTCTACGCCCTGGCTGCCAAGGACATCTTCGGACACCTGGAAGCTTCACCGTCAGGGAAGGACCTTTTTGTTTGCATCAGTTTTTATGAGATCTACTGTGGGCAGCTTTATGACCTGCTAAATGGAAGGAAGAGGTATTTAAATAAAAAACATGGTTTACTATAAACCTATGGTTATGAATAGGTTGGTTACTGTTTAGAAATCAGTTACTGTTTTGTGCAATTTCATTTAACGTATTGGCATTTATAGTACATGTTATGTATTTAATTAGGGCTGTTTCTGGGAGCTACTTAGGGAGGAAGGCAGGATCTGACACTAAATACTGTGACATTGATAGAGACTCCTGATTTTATTGTTTGGGGGAGAAATAAGTAAGAATAAGGATCTATGTTTGAGATACAAGCTCAGGTTGTTTTGCTTACACTCTAGAAATATAACAGCTGAACCTCCATAGGTAGAGAAACAACTTTCTTGTGGCCTAAAGTTCCTATCTTAGAATGGTTTGGATTGGAAAGGACCTTAAAGATCTTCTTATTCCACACTCAGTGCCATGAACAGGGACACCTTCCATTGTACCAGGTTACTCAGAGCCCCATCTAACCTGGCCTTGAACACTGCCAGGAATGGGGCATTCACAACTTCCCTGGGCAACCTGTCTTAGGCCAAACATTGTCCTTTCCCTGGTCAAACATAACCTCTGTCTGTCCCTCCTGCTATGCCAGTGGGGCTTTGGCTCTTGCCACTCCAGTCTCTGAAGATCCTGTTGATCTCCACTTGTCATGCTTGACACTGCAGAGCCTGCTCACCTTCTACCTGACCACCTTTACCTGGCAGCCCAGTGACTCGGCCAGAGCAAGCCTCTGCACGTGATGCTGCCACCACTTCAGTAGCAGCACCTCAGTCCCAGACTCAACTGGATGGTCCTATACTCCGACAGGAGCTCCATTTGGAATTAGGACAGCTCAGTACATATTTTGCTGAAGAAAACCCACCGTGGTCTGAAATTTCTAAATTTCAGCACCAAAATCTTTTCAGAGTGACCTTGAAGGAACATACCTGGCAGCTGGGGTTCTGCAGCAGCCTCAGAGCACTGTCCTTCAGGCTCACCGGAGGGCTTAAGGAGGAGGCTTTCTGCCCCTCTGGGGAAGCGAACATTTGTTCACAAAGGAAGCACCTTTTTCTGTGCATGTGTGTTCCCTTTCTCCAAAACAGCCTTTAAGGAGCAGGTAGTGTAATCTGCTGTGTAAGGAGCAGATTAACTAAGGAAGAAGGAATGTCCTTACATTCTCTGCGTGTCCACTGGCTAATTTACATGTCACTGAAGGAGAAGATTAAACTTCCTCCCACATGCAGCATGTCTGTATTATGCCTCTATATTTTAAGGCTTCTGTGTGATTCGTAGCACAGGTTCATAGGAGCTGCTTTAAAATCCTGTGCAAAAATCTTGAGAACATGAACAGAACAAAACTTAGTCTGAACTTCCCAGAGGAACCCAAGGTGCAGTTTTAAGAAAGACAGGAACTCTAAAATATAAACGTGATAATTCACTTCCTAGCTTTATTATATTCCTGAACTAGCAGAAATGCATTGCTAATGTCTCTTTAGCAGTGACGTGCCAGTGGCACGTGTTATAAATGAAATACTTCTTTAGTTCTAAAAATAAATGAATGGCAGCAAGGCCTTTCCCCAGTGAGTAGCCTTGACTGCTTTTTCTCAGTGTCACAGCACTGGCACATGTCTTCGTTGCTGCTGTCTGAGATTTCAGAAGTCTTCTTTCTGCACTGTTTTGTTTTCAGACTTTATGCAAGAGAAGATGGCAAGCACGTGGTTCAAATAGTTGGATTGCAGGAAGTCCAGGTGGAGTCTGTAGATGAACTGTTGGAGGTAACCTCTATGTTTGTGATTCATTCTTTGTCTTCTACAGCCTGATTTGCTGATTTGTGATATTTGCAGAGATTGTTATTTGGTGTGTAGCACAAGTGTATCTTCCTGTTTCAGGCCCTGAAATTACCAGTCCCAGCAGAGCACCAAGGGACACTACTAAAAGTGCTTAAAAGTATCATTCATGAAGCTGCTTGGGTCACTGTGACTTGTGTTAGCCACGTGCAAGCAGTTGAGCCACAGCTGTCACCTCTGCTGCCATTCCTTAGGGAACATCTTTGCCAAGAAAGAGACTGCTGTCACTATTCCAGAAATTAGATAGTGTCCCAGCAAGGGACCTTGAAAGCTGGATATGTATTTTCTCCATGTGATATTCTATGAACTTAGATTTTTGTATATAAAGGGTATGTGGGACAAAAAATACAAATTTGAAGTTAGAACTGGTAATTAGAAAATACTTAAGATTGAGATATTGATCTGAATTAGTATTAAAACATTGCTTAGGTAATGATGTGTGATAACAGCCAAGTAAAATTAAGATCTTTAAATGGTAGCTGACATTCACCACAAGCAAGGCTTCAATTTTCCTTCCCCTTCCGGCTGAGCCTGAAAAGAACACTGGCGAATTTTCTGCATTGTCTCCTGCAAGAAGAAAGCTGATTAAATCTGCTTTCTATTTAGCCTGACTTTGCATAGTTTAATTCCTTTCTTGGTAAGGAGGTGTAAATTACAAGTGCCTGGTATGGTAATTGACTCATTAAAATTGGCATGGTGTTGTCCACTTATATTGCACTTAATTTTGTTCTTCATCTTCCCATTAACTCCAAGCTTTGGGGCAAGCTGGTGATGCTTCTGCAAATTAGAGTGTAAATTTGCTATATGGTTGATTTACAATTCCTCTGTATTATCACATTTCACACACAGAAGACCTATTAAATTACTTCATTCTTACAGATATCTTGGGGGGGGGAAATGACATCGTTCACAGGCCCTTTTGAACACAGAAATGTCACTGACTTGACTTAAAGCTTCTGAGTATTCTGCAACAGATATATGGAAAGAGCCTTGAATACATCCCTAGTTATTCACAATTCATTGATGCTGGCTTTGATTCAGAAATTATCTGCACTTAGCACTAATATAAAACTCGGAAGCAGCAGCAGTTGGTTATGCTGCTCATTGAGAACTGGCCACTGAAAAGCATGAATAATTCACATCTGTCAACTGAGAGCATATTGATTTTGCTAGGTAATATTTTATTTTGTTCTTACAACCAGAAGCAAAATGAATGATTGTTTTTTGAATGCCCTGCTGCAGTCAATGCTAGGCTTTCTGTGACAGTCCTTCAAAGTTTTCAAAAAATAATTATCCAGATTTGTATCTGGAAGGACTCTTTGTCCTTCTGCCTGGCTTCTCTTCCTTCTTATTTTGTTGTTGTATTGACTATAATTGCTCTTTTAACTTTGTTCCTTACTTTAGCATAATTTCTTGTTGTTAGGGAAATTTTGAAAGGTTTTGGCACTTTGTATTTTTTGTGTAGCTTTCTGGATTATTGTGTCCATCTACTACAAGGGAAAGTGAAATTTTAAAAGAGCACAAATAGTCTAATGAGTCTCTTAGGTTATGTGTACAATCTTACAACAGTATGCCAGCAATGAAAGAAAAAATTTTATTTTATAGTTCGGGTATTTTGCAATTCAGAGTGAGTGTGTGATGTAGCAACTTTTTATTTGCAGTGTGCTCTCTAAGCTTTGTAGTGTCACTGCAAGCAAGTCCACATACAAAGGTCTGAAAGAAACATTGTGAGGGATCCAGTCTAACTTAACTTCAGCCTTGTACCAAATTTGAAGGCTATAATGAGCCATTCATCATCTTGGGAGGACAGGATCTCTTTCTGAGAGGCTGTACTTTTATTTAGAATTTGCTTGGGTTTTGTCCCCGTTATTTTGCAGGTGATTTTGAAGGGGGGGAAAGAACGTAGCACAGGAGCCACTGGAGTCAACTCGGATTCCTCTCGATCTCATGCCATCATCCAAATTCAAATTAAAGATGCAGCCAACAGGACATTTGGAAGGTGAGACAAGAAGTGCAAGTGCTCAGTGCCGATGTCAACCCCAGGCACATCCAAGAGACAAACAAAGAGGAGGTGTTAGTGGGCAGGTGTGAGTTAAATCAGAGGAAAGGGTTCAAAGGGACTTTGGGAGGTTTCACAGTCCTTTCTCTGTTCCCAGGGAGAACATTTTAGGCACATCTGTTAGAGCTTTGACAAAACTGTTTACACAGATTTCCAGTGAAGGAGTTTGGCAATCAAGTCCATCCCCTCATCTTCAGTGTTTAATCTGGCTGAAAGTAGATGTCTGCAGTGGACAGGTCCACATGTGAGCTCACCACCTTTGCAGTCAGTGGAAAGAAATAGCCACTTCTGGGGTCCAATTCATGCTGTTCTTCAGAGCCACCTAAATTAGGTCAGATGCATTTGCCTCTCAAAGCATTTGTGTCCTGTAATTGACTACAAAGGGAGTCTGGGATGACAAACCCAGGGGGAGATGATTCCATTACAGATGTTTGCCTTTGGTCAGAAGAATCCTACCTTGTACCTCAGCTAAACCTCCCTGATAATTTCAGAGTGTGACTCTGATGCTATCTACAGCAGACAGAAAGAGCATTTGGCTTCCTCTTCTAGTGTCCACTTTATGTATTCGAAAAATAATTGTGCCTCTTCTCAGTCATCTTTTCTCCAGACTAAACAAGCCCAAGAAATAGATCTGAGGAAAAAGGTCTAGGTATCTTTATTACTGGTGAGTGCCAAAAAACCATGCTGACACACCCTTCCAGCAACTACCATGTAGTCTTTGTTCCCACGATCAAATTTTGAACACAAGGCAAAATGGAAGAGCCACAAACAGTGGAGAGAGGAAAAGACAGAACAGGCAGGCTTAGGAAATAAAAGTATAGGGGTTATGTAGGTGTGGCATCTGGGCCATTTTTTTGTGTGTCTGTGAAAGAGAGATGGAACTGGAGAGAGGAAAGGGTGCCCAGATATGCCTATAAAAGAAGTCAGAGCTGTTGGAGAAAAACAAGAAGGACAAAGACAAAGATACAGTGCAACAGTCATTACAGCAGCTGGCACCCAGAGCTAGAGAATGTGAAATGGAATAATGGAGTTTTGTAGAGGAAGGACAAGGATCACTGAAAGCTCAGTGTATTTACTGCACTGGAAATTTCGGTTCTTATTGTTCTGAATTCCCATTTGACATGGGAATGACAGTTGTCTGTTTTACCTGGAAGGAGAAATCAAGAAACTTACAATTTCTTTTAACTGTATTCTTAGGAAACTACAATCACAGTGATTATCTGGAGAGATGAGTGTGTTGCACTTTAAACAACTTGTCCATTAAACTGTGGAGCACTGTCATCACACGTAATTACACTTTCTATTACAACTGTGTTAGTGTTAAGATGCTCTGACACTGTTCCTGCTGCTGTGCTTATTTTGGTGCCTCAGATGCTTCCAGTGGATGTTTTTCATTGTTCAACAGTAGTAATTTCTAATCATTCTCCTGATGCCATGTGTTGCAGCCCTCTGGTTTAATAAAGAAAAAGGAAAAAGAGGGGGAAAAGGCTCTAAGATGAATGCAACTTTTTTTTTTCCCTAGGATATCATTCATTGACTTGGCTGGCAGTGAAAGGGCAGCTGATGCCAGAGACTCAGATCGACAAACAAAAATGGAAGGAGCAGAAATAAACCAAAGTCTTTTAGCAGTAAGCTACTATCATATCTGGGGGAGGCTTTATATTTAATTACCAGCATGTGTTTTAGGATAAAAATGACCCACAGAATAATATTTGAATGTATTCCGTGGAGGGGCAAAAATAACCAAGGTATTGTGTCCAGTTTAATTTGTCTCATGACCGAAAGACAATTTAAGAAGGAAGAAATTTTGTGATGAAAATCAAGTATTTTTTTATCCATTCTTACAGCCAGCCAGGTAAACACAGCGTGGAGAATGCTAGGTATAGTACGATAAGCGTCCCATATTTTATATAGGAAGTTTTGTCCCTTCTGCATCCAAAGAATGCTGGCTTGGAATTGCTGTATTTGTTTCATAAAAGCACATCTGTTCCTGCCAGTTATTTTCACCACTTGAACTCAGGCTTCTCTTTCAAATCAGGAATAAAGGATTTAAGTACTCAAGAGCACAGAAACTAGCAATTCATGTGTGGGGAGGAAGGAACAGGAAGAAATGCAGTCTTAATGCAAACTGTTCTTTTGTAAGTGCCCACAGTTAGGTAAAGAGGGACAAAGGAGCAGAAAAATGCCATCTGAGATAAAGCAGAGGTGCCTGTAAGGGTAAATTGTGCAGAAGGCTTTGCACCTCCTTTAATGCCAAGGAACAAAGCTCACTGATGGCTGTGGGCTTCTCTAAGCAAGGCTGAAAGTGATACACAACAGTGCGAAGTCAGTGCACACAACTGCACCCCTTAGTGTGCTGTAAATAGGAGGTGCCTTGCTCTGTTTTGAGAATGTAAATGTTCTTTTTCACAGCTTTTCCTGCAGTGGGGTATTAGCATTTGTACTTCACAGGAGATAGCCTGTGAAGTGAATGTGTTTCTGTACTTCGTGCTTTATGGAGTACTTGCTGGTGAATAACTGAGTGGCACAGGGAGTTGGGACCTGAATAGAAGGAAGTCTGATCCTAAAGGTCTTCTCCAACCTAAACAACTCTGTGATTTGTGAGAAATGAGGCATAGTGTAAGCTCATGAAACTGTTTTAAAAGAAACTTTAAAATCAGAGTGTGTACCTTTTGGTATTGTGTGGAACTGAGAAAATACCCAGGCAGTCTACAAGTAGTGATTGAATTAACTGTAAAAGGTAATATAAGAGGTATTAAAAGTCCACATGACCTGCAACCTGTAAAACCAACTCTGCCCTCAGTAGTAATAACTTTGTCTTCAGGCATTTAAACACATGAGGTTTGAAGTTTGCTGCTGGTTTAAATATTCATGTTAATTTCAAGTGGAAGACTTTCAGACACTGCAACTAGGGGAAGCAGGATAAAAAAAAAAAATTGTTTGATCTCCTGAGTGTTACAGGTGCAATTTTTAATAAAATGCTGTAAAAGTGAGAAATAAGTGTAATTTTAAGTGGGAGTCTGTAGAATGTAGTAAGGCTGTAAATGATTCATACCATCACCATGCCAGTACTGTAATCTACTTATTTTTCCTTCAATATTTGCTCTAAAGGGCTTGTCTCGTGGCTATACTTTCCATTTCTGCCAGTTTTAGAGAGCATCCAGGCTTGATATGGAGTGTGATGCTGTTGTGCTTATTCCAGTCAATAACTTTGAGTTTGAACGTGACATCTTTTTACAAGGCTGATAATAAATCACAGAACTGTCAGGATTGGAAGGGACCTCTGGAGATCATCCAGTCCAACCCCCCTGCCAAGGCAGGGTCAGCTAGAGCAGGTGACACAGAAACACACCCAGGTGGGTTTGAGATGTCTGCAGACAAATCTGTGCTCTGTGCTGCGTGAAGGAGCTGGAGCTGCGTGTTCCTGCCTGTGGCAGCTGCAAAGTGACCTTGGCACGGGACATAGTAGGAATCAAAGGTGACACAGGGCACTGGTAGGTTAGGTTTGATGCAGTTCAGTTCACGACTGATTTGTTGTTCCCTTCCGATTGTTTTCTCTTTTGGCAGCTGAAGGAATGCATTCGGGCACTGGATCAGGAACACGCGCACACTCCTTTCCGGCAGAGCAAATTGACTCAGGTAAAACGAGCAGCAAGGCAAGAGTAGAGGTTTCCCTGTAAAGGGCAAAAAAACCCAAAAAAAGCAAATAAATAAATAAATAAGTGGCATAGTTCAGTAACTGCTATTAAACCCCGTAGGAAAAGAGGAAAAGCATAACTTTTGCAAACTTTTAATTTTAAAATAATCGCAGAATTAAGGCCAACTACCAGTTTCTCCCAGCCAGTGCTGGGGACTGGCATGGTTAAAATAACAAACAACCCAAAAACCCAGAAACTACCTTCCAGACTCTTTCATAGTTACCATCCATCTCCACCCATCCATGTGCAACCAATCCTGCATCTTCTGTGCAGTATCAGTCCTGGGAGCTTGCATCAACATTTCTTCACTTCAGTTGTAACATCTGCTTTATTCCCCAAAACATATGGGCACCCTTGTGGCACCTGGTGCAAGGGCTTGTTCAGAGCCCTGATTAACACTTATATTCATTTTAAACTGTAAACAGATAATGATAGGACAAATTGAGACAAAAGAACTACATTTAACAAAAAAGAAAAAAAAGGAGCCAGTAACTAGTGTTAAATTTCTTCTGTACACATTGCTAATTTACAGGACAAACAAGGGGCATGAACTGCTAAGAATCCAGGTTTTTTTCCTTTGAATCCTAGGTGCTAAAGGATTCTTTCATTGGCAATTCCAAGACATGTATGATAGCCAATGTATCACCCAGCCACTTAGCTACAGAGCATACCCTGAACACTCTACGATATGCTGACAGGTAGGTGGTGAAAGATAGTCTTGCCAGGGTGAACAACAGAAAGGAAAAACTAATGTATGATGTTTGTGGTTACATTTTATTTTGGTTGTTTTGAAAATATTGATTTAGGCAAGAAGTGCAATTTGCACAATGCAAATAAAATCCTTACCTATTCCAACCCTTATACTGGATCTTAAAATTGTCCATGTATTGTAAGTACTTTCAGTGATGAAGATATCACTGTGTGCCCCTGTAATAAGGATTTGGTTTAGCTTTGTATTACAATTCTACTTAGAATGTGTGCAAGTCCTTCACCTTCCCTCCTACATAGAAGGAGGTAAATTACAGGCTGTGCAACACTGGTGTTAGAAGGACAAGAGATACTTGAAGGGCAAAAGGGGCAAAGGGAACAGCTGAAGGTCAGGCTGATAGGGAACAGGGTGATACCAGTTAATCAGCTCTTTACAGTTTCGCTGGTGATCAGTTAATCCAGGAGCAGTGTGGCCCTGTGCACATCACCAGAGCTAAGGAGCCCCACTGCAACTACTCCAAAAGTCCTACTTAGTGCTCTGTGGGACTCTGATGTCCTGTGTAGAGTACCAGCTCCTTCTGCTGCATGATAACATGAGGAAATGCCACTGCCTTGCACTGAAACTGGGGCCATTTCAACTCACTTGGCCTGTCATGCATCATTCAAGGAAGCACTTAAAAAGGCTGCTATAGACCTTTCCAGAAGTTCGGGCATTTTGGCAGAGGGATTTTGATACCTGTATAGATCCCGTTACAAAACAAACCATGATGCTGAATTCAGTATTTAGTCTTAATATGTGAAAGCATTAGTTTGTTCTAAAGACGCTGTTATTTATCTGAAAGCATGACACCCTCTAAATCCAGCCTGTTTTACAGGGTCAAAGAGCTGAAGAAAGGGATTAAATGTTCTACCCCTGTCACAAATAGGCGTCGCAGAGCTGGAAACGTGTCTCCAAAACGTGTCCAGAGCACTCCCTCTTTGCCACCTGGGGAAAAGAGCTCTCCAAAGAAAGTGAAGCTAGGCCTACAGCATCCCTCAAGTGCTACAAAAACAAAGGTGTATCCTGCAGCACTCCAGCCACCTGGTGTCCCTCTTACCTCTACCCCAAGGGCAGTCGGCAAAGGACATGCCTACAAAGGAAATACCAGCACACCGTGCTTCCAGCTCCTGAGCCCAATTAAGGGAGTCCTACGGATAGCACATCCCCTGAAGAAGAAAACTGATGATCTATCTCCCCTCTCTGAACAGAGCCCCTCTGTGAAGGATTTCATCATCAAAAGTGCTGCCACAGATGAAACAAGAGACAGTGGCCAGAGAGACAAGTATATTCAAGACAGATCACCTGTCCAGTGCCTGAAAGTCCAGACAGTGCAACCCATTCAGAAACAGCTTCTTTCTAGAGATGATATTTCCTTTGGAGAAGGAAATCTGCCCTCTGACAGCAGACAGGAATGGGGAAATACTTTTGCTAAAGAATGTGTTGAACCCTGGACATATCTGCCTCCATTTCAGAAGGAAAGGGAGGAGCATTTACGTCTTTATCATCAGCAGTTTCAGCAGCCACCTATTCTACAACAAAAATTGAACTATCAACCCCTTGAGAGGTTTTTAATGCAGTACAAGCCCGAGGAGATTCAAGTGAAACAGGAACTGAGCCTTACTCCCACAGAAATGCAGAACAAAGAGGGGATGCCGCTGGAAGATCTGGATGACAGTGATTTCAGTGAAGATTCTTTCTCACCTGTCTGTAGTCAAAAGAGCGTGAAAAGGGGAAACACCAACAAATGCAGTCAACATTCCTTTTTCCTTCATGAAAGAGAAGAAGGAACTGAAGAAGAGCAAAAAGGCCAAAAGCGACAGGATTTATTTTTTAAATATGCAATACCCATGCAAGAGCATGAACTAGATGACAGCTGGGATTGTATCGAGGGCAGCCCAAAGGCAGAGGAATCCATTAAAAATGCAGGCTGCAGCAGAACTACAGCAGACTGGAACTATGACTTAGCTATTGAGTCCCCTCCAAGCAATACTGCAGAAAAGCCTTACTGCCTGCAGGAAGATCCTGCTTGTAGCTGGAAACACAGCAAGGATTTCCTAGCTGATCAGGAAGAGTACAAAACCAAACACAGATGTCTTGTTTACTCCAGTGAAGCCACCTTAACTCCAGAAAAGGATACTTCAAACCCATATGTATCTCCTGTGTTGAAACCAGGAACTCCAGAGTGCAAAGAGATTGATCTCCAGCATGAGGAGAGGGAAGAACCCACTTTGGACAAACAGGCTGCCCTCCCAGGAGATGTACAATGGAAAGCTCATAAAAATGGAGTTAACCACTGTGTCTCTTCCAGCTGCTCCTCAGAATTCACTTCTGAGCTAATAGCCCCTCTCCCGGTGTCCCCTCTTGACTGTGAGGAAACAGCTGATCCAGACAAAGTGTCTTGCAACCAAGAGAAGTCCCCCGGTGAGAAGCAGGCTCCAGGCAGTGCTTCACAGGGCTCCCAGAGCAGGTGTGAGGAGGAGGGCTGGCAGTGCACGAGGAGCAGAGCCCTGACGGACAGCATGCTGGAGCTGGGGGAGCAGATCCGGCTGGTGGGAAGGCACCGCGCCCTGCTGTGCTTCCCGCGGGCCGGGCACAGGTGGCTCCCGCCCGCCTGCTGCCGTGCCAGGCCCTGCTGCTGCTGCCGCCTGGGCTCGGGGTCAGCACAGCAGGGAGGGGGCTTGTGTGTTGGGCCTTACCTCACAGAAACACCCACAGCTGGATCCCCGGGCACCAGGGCAGAGGGAGAGGATGAGGTGTCCCACAGTGACTCCGCGTGCAGGGAACACGCTGGTGGCAGACGGGGTGGTGCTGACCTTAAAGATGGTGCTGGTAGTTCAGGAAAACCCAACTCGAGTCAAGGACCCAGTGTTGAGCCCATGGCTGAGGAAACAAATGCTGAAACACCTGAAAAGAGCTGTTTTTCAGAGGCAACGTGCTTTCTCAGTGTGGGGCACACGGATCATGCAGCCCAGTCCCCCTCTCAGGAGAACAGCCTGCTGCTGCAGCCCAAGTCAGGAGTGAGGAATGAGGACCTCACCCATTCTGAAGACCCTGCCAAGTCATCATTCAGCAGTGAGGAAACAGCATTGCAAACAAAACAGTTAATGCAGAGTGGTTTTACACAAGAGACTTCTGCTGCAGATGCAGGATGTGCAACCAAAGATGATAAGCCAGTAGCAAATGCAAAGAGCCCCTCAGGCATGTCCATCAGCAACTCTCCAAGTGCTACGTCAGAGTTGGGGAAGTGGCAGAGGGAAGCCCTAGAAAAGGCACAGTAAGTCTTGCTCATCATTGAAGTTTGTAATGACGCTTAGAAAAGTGATACATTTGCCTTTATTTGTATGTCATAGTCATATGTGCTTTAAAAACCAAAGCGTAATCTTCTAATTAATATTTATAATAATTTATAGTCAGTATCTTTTAAATATGTGATTGCTTGTTACTTAGTGATATTTTAAAATCTCACAGGAAGCCAATTTTTCTATTAGAGCTTCTAACATAATGCTAGAGGAACTAATATTATAATACAAAGTGCAGTTCTCAGTAATTAATTGGCTTCCTATAAGCTGTAAAATACCTAAAATATATCAAAACCTTCCATCAAGAGTTAGGTCATAGCTGTTCTAACCCTATGGAGAGAAAAGGAGCATGGCAGACACTGAAGGTGTAGATATAAAACTTCCAAGTACTCTGATCTGCCACTGTCAGCTCCCAAGGACTGGCCTGCATTCATGTGTCTGAAAATACATTGTTTATCAGTGAAACTTGCTCAGAGGAACCAACAGCAGCACTGCCTTCCTTCTCTGCCTGTTTTTCACCAAAATTACTTTCAGCCGCATGGTTGTAAGCCATTTCACCAGTTAATTAGTCGGTTGTTTTGCTCCTTGATTTTGCTCTGCTAGAAGCAGTCTGTGCCCCTGTGCTGCCTGTGCTAATGAGGGGCTGTGGTTGGTCCTCTGTGAACAACCCTCAGTCATCCAGATGATCCTTAATCCCAAACCAGTGCATCCCTCTGCACTTCAAGGAGCCCTGGAGCTTCCTGAGTGCCAGGGACATAGGACAGCAAGGCTTCCTCTGGGGTATTGCCCCTTCTTGAAGGTTTATTGAGGCCAGCAATAGTGCAGCAGGCTGTGTAACCAGAGGTGTATTTTTTGTTTATCAGACAGGCTGTAATTCGTGCCCATCAGGAGCAGCTGGATGAAATGGCATGTTTGTGCTTCAAGGAGGAGTGCTTGATAAATCAAATGTCAGCAATGGTAAGTGTTTCATACGATGATTTTGGTGCCTGTTGAACCTGCATAGATTAATCTCAGAGATTATTAACTTGAATTGGTGATGTGATGTTCCTCGTCAGTTCCTCTTCTTGTGCTCCGGTGCCTGTGTGCTTGGAGAGGCCTCTCATTCTCAGCGCCTGTTGTGTCTCTGCCAGTCTCCAGAGTCCTTGAGGCAGCAGGAGGTGGATGGGCCAGCCCGAACTCTTTGTCTCTTATCAGAGAGCCTGCCCTTATTTTGTGTCAGGGGCACCAGACTGTATCAGACAGGGCGTCTGTCCCTGGGATGTTTTTCTCCTTATGGGCTGGAGCAAGTGAGTCAATACCACAGAACACAGCACACCCCTAAACCATGGCACTGGTGGCATTTGGCTCTTCCTTCTGGGAGCCCCATTGCCTCCCACACTGCAGATGTGCCAACAGCCCTGGCCCCACTCACTCCAGTGCTCTGGCCACTGTGGTTTGTGCCCTCACAGGCTCTTGGCTTTTGTCACTCGGGTGTTTCTTGGTGTGTCCTTGTCTCAGATGACAACTGGTGTATGCTGGACCCAAAGACTGGCACCTGCATGGCCCCAGTGCAATCCCAGTTCTCTGTTCCTCCTGCATCCCGACAGGTACATGTCACAGCCATGGGATAAGTCTCATCTCTCACCCAGACTGTGAACAATTCCCAATGAGAACTCCTGCCTTCCCAGTTCCCTCATCTTATCAGTAAAGCCAAGCTGCATTTCTGCATTGCATTACCAAACCATTTCAGTTCCTATCACAATTCAGATCTGAAGTACAGGGACTCTTCCCTCAGGGATTCTGGACTGGATCCACCATGTGGCTTACTCACTGTGATTTCCAGCTGCACGTGCTGTGTTACAAATAACATACAGAAGTTCACAAAGCAGCACAGGAGCCATAAACTGTGTTAGTTTTGTGGCAGACAATGGAGTGATACAAAGCAATCTTTTACTTTTTTTTATTTTTAATTTTTTAAAAAATCTTCTGAAATTGTTCTTCTTGAGTCTGTTGGTCACTGGACACCAGTTCTGCCCCCCATTTATTTGCCCCTTGTAGCAAGCAGTTATTTTCTGGCTAGCAGAATTATGACAAGCTTGCCAGGTCTCCCAGCAGTGTTATTTTACAGCATGACAGTTTTTTGGGTAGTGAAATCAGCTTGGGATTCCTGTATCAGCTTCTCTGCTTCCATTTTCAGATGATTTCAGCTTCTCCAGCCATGAAACTTTGGCTGCAGGAGAGAGTTATGCCAAGATCAGCCACACACTGAACACAAAGCCATATTTAAAGTGCTTAAGAAAAATATTCCACAACAGCTGGGCTAGTCTTTATTACTGTCCCGATGTCCCTGTGAGACAGAGATACAGTGCAGGAAATAGCTGGAGTACTGCCAAATCAGCTTTCAAGTGATTGATTTCCATGCATAGCAGCTGAATTCCCCAGCCCTGGGGATGTTGACACCTCCCAGCTTCTCAGGCACTGACCTGTGAACAGAGGCACCAAACTGCTCACAGCTGGAGAGCAGAGCAAATCCAAGTGCTCCCTTATTAATACAAGCCCTACTTAAAAATAACTGCCTCCATTTCAGTTTTAATCAGTTTCATATTGCTTTCTGTCCGTGTGGCAGGTTGCTATGGAAGGTAGAGTTCCCCTCAGCCAAGGCTGTGTACAGTGCTGGGATTGCTCACGTCAGACCTGGCAGACCTGCAGCCAGGCAGAAGTTGGGCTGGGCCTGTGACCTGATGAGAAATAAACCCCTCACACCTCTCAAGATTGGGCTGTTATGTGTGATCCATGAGTGCCCAACGCCCCATTTATTTTCATGATCCAACATGAGAGGTGTCAGGAACAGTGTCCAGTAGATTGTAAAACTAGGTGACCAGTCCCTGTACCAAATCTTTGAAAAGCTGACCAGTGTAGCAGAGTAACAACAGGCGTTTCATACATTTTTATTTTTAAACCATTGTATTTGCTGTAATTTCACCAACAGATAAAACTACCAGAGTCAGTGAACCTTGGTAGTTAGAGACACTGACCTTTGTCTGTGAGTGTCAGGACTTAAATAAGGAAATGTTGTAATCTACTAGACTGCAGAATGGAAAACAGGCTTTTATGCACTGCTGCATAAAAGTGCAAAAAATATGCTGTTTTTCTCGACCCTGCTGCTACTGTTTCCTAAACTTTCCTTTTGCCTTCTTCACCAGGATTTTCAGAATTTCATGGCCATGCTGGATGAAATCTTGGAACTGAAGTCACAGTGTATCCAAACGATGCGAGCCCAGCTCCAGGTCTGCTTAGCCTCTCCTGGCACTGACATGTCACTGCAACCACCTCCACCAGTTTAGACCTTCTTTGCTTCCACACGCACAGGAGCAGCTACGGGAGACACCAGCCAGCACTTTGCTGCACTTGGTGCTGCAGAGTGTGGGTGGTAGGGGATAGCTTTTGGTTTGATGTGTGTGATTAGTGTGTATTTTATATAAGGATGGAGAGAATTTTGAGTAAATGAGAGGTGACTAATTGGCAACACAAGCTTTGTATTTTCATTAATACCTGTAAGCCACCTTCTTAGAAATAACAATTCAGCAGCCTTTAAATGTCTCACCAAGCAGCAGGCAGTCCTGTTCATGTATCTCAGCAACTTCTCACGTGTTAAAGGCACTTCTGCATTGCCAAGAAAAAGGGGGGCAGAGGGGAAAACAACCTGAATAGAAATGCTCAAAAGCTCCCCAGAAAAGTGTTTGCAAACAGGAGCCAGGGGTTGTTACACTAACATAACCAGACCTACTTAGTAATTGGAAGTCAAGGCAGGGCAAGAAGCGCTGTCAGTTTCAGAAGAAGGAAGCCTATTGTTGCCCTAGTTTGTGGGATGAACACTCCAGAGCTCCTGAAAGATGTGGTTTAAGTCATGGGTGACGAGTGGTTTAGCAGGGACTTTGTACCAGAGATTCATCTGTTGTGTTAATAAGCGTGTGGGTTTCATGCAGCTGCCCACAGCTAGAGGCCAACAGCTTTACCTGCTGCACACATCGGCCCCCTGCCCTGTGCCCGGCCCTGCAGTGCCCGCCGGTCTCACAGAACTGATTTCTCACGTGAAAAGCAGGTCTGGCTGGAGGCACTGAGCTCGCAGGGGCTGCTGATTGCTGTTATGTGAAACTGGTATTTGAATCAACAACTGCAGAACCATCAGCTGGAGCCCTGTAGAAGCTCTGGTGCTGCACATGCATCACATCTAAACCACAAAGCAAGTCCACTTGCTGAAGGCACAAGTGACCTTGAAACATGCTCGCTGACAACACGCTGTGTGAGCGCTCCCGCTCCAAAATTAGGGCTGTCGCAGCGCATTCATCCATCTCAGTGTCTTCTCAGTAATGCCTGTGGTAGCTCACTCAAAGCCTGCTCAGTAGCCAGAAATGCCAAGGGTAATGGAACACTCCAGTCTGACCAGCTGTGGGTTTTACTGCCTGGCTCCACAGCCTCCCGCACGAGCCCCAGTTGGGCTGAGTGGCAGTGCAGTAATCACAGTGACACTTTGGGATGCATATTTGGTGCAGACACTCCCAGGAATGTCACTCATGAATCCCACATCACTCTCCTGACTGTTGGGGTGTTTTTAGCACTGGTTAGTCTCCATCTTACAACTGAAACTGGATTTCCCTGTGGAGCAGAGAGCAGAGTTTCTCCAGGGTCTGAGTTTATGGCTCTCAAGATGGTTCCTGTGTCCAGGTTACAGGCTAGCAACGTCACACCTAAACCCACGTGTCCCAGCCCCCTGGTCAAAAGCCTTCCTTGCCCAGAGAAATGAGGTGTCCCCGAGCAAGACTCCTGGTGCTCGTGCACAGCACAGAGCGGTAGAGCACCACGGAGAGCTGTAAAGCAGTGGGACACCCAGCACCCTGCTGTTCCCTGCGGGGAACAGCGTTTGAAACAGCTCCCTCCACCTCCTGGGGCCCAGGGAGAGTGTTCCCATGAGTAAGGCGAGGGGAATATGAGGCAGCTGGGTAATCCTTGTACTTTCTGCATGAAAGGTTGTCAGCACTTAGAGTGGTTTCCCCAGCACTTTCTCAGCGAGCACAAAGCAAACAGGGCTGACAGGGAGCAGCTGAGGAGTTCTGCAAGTTTGTTTGGAACCAAGGAAAAGGTCAGGCTGTAGGATGTGTGCACAGGTCACAGGAAAACGTGATGCCCAGCCAGAAACACAGTGTGAGGGAGGAAAACTTTCCCTCCACGTGCTTTGACATTTGGGAGAAGAGTATTGGCTAAATGCATGTTCAGAATTTTAAAGTGCAGCTCAGTAAAGTACCTTCACAGGCACTTTCAGTGTCTTACAGAAGCTGAACATTTCTAAAGCAACACACAAGGAAGAACCATTTGCACAACCAACAGTGCCACGTCCAAGCCTCGGTGCTTTCAGACAGTTGTGACAAGACAGATGAGTGACCAAAAATTTCCACGAGCAGGGATGTGAGTTAAATCAGCTGCCAGGTTTGAGCAACCTGTGACTCCCATCTGGTCTACTGTGAAAAAGGCAAGTTTTATCTGGCAGATCTGAACCCCAGGACCCGTTCCCAGAGCTGGAACTATTTGCTCCCTTGAGGAATGGCCAGGGACACTGGGAAACAACAAGTAATCAAAATAACTGCAACACACACTTTCCCAAGGTCTGATACAATCTTTTTTTAAACTGGAGTCATCCAGCCAGTCCACAAGACTATACCCTCCGAAATGTAATCTTTTATTATCAGCCTGTTCTCCAAATTTTATTTTCCCTACTGAATGTGAGACTTAACTAAAATGAAAAAAATAAAGCAGCCCTGGCTGTGGAAATCTGCCCAGCCATGGCAATAGCTGGACATGTTTGAAGTGCTGCACACCCAGGAGATACCAACACTGGGCTCCTCGTATGCAACTACCAAAGATGATGTAACTTCTTTCTCCATTTTTGGGGTTATTACCAAGCTGCTGCATTAATTCTTATGTGAAAATGTGCTAAATGAGCATCTTAGAAGTGTCATCCTTTTCCTATTGTCTCATATTCCACTGACAACTGATATGAAAGGTTTTCATTTCAACTTGAGGAATGCATGTGAAAGTGTCATTACAGAAGTCTAAGAGATAAAGAGAGCTTGGCCATATACAATCAAATAAACACAGCTAAAGTGGGTTCACTTTTGTACTGAAGTGCAACAAAGTGCTCATGGAAGAGGCTTGGTACTTTATTTCAATGGCTGACAAAATTTAAAATAAAATTCAATGTACTTCAGTACTCAGGTAAAAACCATTCTGAAGGAAACGTGATCGAAGTGCCCATTTGACTGACTGCAGAAGATTAAGTGGGGCTGGAAGCCGGCAGAGATCCCCTTCTTACCAGCCTGTTGGTGTGGCTGGTGTTTCAGAAGCGTGGCCGGCCTGACCAGCCTGGGCCAGCAGCAGAGCGACCCTTGCACGGCCAACACGGAGAGCTGCCCACCCAGGCTCTGCACTGCTGGGAGTGCTCCAGCAGGGCCAGGCCAGGAGCCACAGGGCTGGGTGGAAAAATCCCTGGAGCATGGGGGCATCTGCTGCTCCCCCTGCCCAACTGCAGGATCCCATAGAGAACTCACCCTCAAAACACTGAACAGTGACCACCGCAGCACCTCTGCTCCCACACCTCCAGCCAATGATTTTGGCTCTGCCTCTACCCTTCTCCTCACAAGCCCTCCCACCAGGAGCCCAGCCCTCAGTGCCCAACCCTGACAAAGTTACAGCAGTGCCAAGTGCCAGGTACATAAATCAATCTGACCTGAGAACCCAAGGAAAAGCCCCGAGGTCTCCAGTGTGACCGGGGGTGCAGCCAATCTTCCCACCAACAAGCAGCAGGGGAGAGCCCAGCATTGCTCCAGCCAGCAGGACCTCCCCACGTCTGTGCTGAGCTGTGCCTCGACAGAAGAGAACAGTACTGAGTAACTAGCAATGCACAGCACCCACAACACTGAAGTCTCATCACATTGTGTCTCCTGTTACACGTTCCTTCCCCTCCTTTAAGACACCAGGTTACTCCCCGCACTGCGTGGTCTTTTCTTCTCCGAGATGCCACCCCAGGAATACACTTCATGCCTTCAGCCACCCAGTGATATAAGTCTGGAAACCTCACTGCCAAAACACGAGCAACATCACAAGGGAAGAGTCAGGTGGGTTTGGCTCCCGGGAATGAGGAGACCACCTTCCCCTCCCTGCTCTCACCTCTACAACAGCCTCCGTAGGCAGAGTACTGGGGTTAAGAACCAGACCCCACAGGGCAAATGTGAAAAAACAACACACACTAACAGAACCAAAGAGATTATTTTATTCAGAGGTTTGGTCTAAACAGTTGTTTCACTAGCAAGACTTCTTGCCTCTTCAGGACTGTGGCACCAGATGGGGATTTGTTTGCGTATCAATTCTGAGAAAGCCAAACAAGCAATACAAGCGACTGCTCCTGGCAGTGATGGTAAAGCAGTTTCAGTTTTGTTTTCCAGGTTTTCCGATTAATCAGGAACCCCATTGTCTCGTTTCAAACTGTCACATTTCTCACCAGCTGCTGCACATCCTTCTCAGACAAGTTTTAATTTCAGCCCCACCACCAGAAGCTGGTGAAGTTCAACACCACGGGATACATGCAGGGCAACCTGCCCTGGTCCTCCTCCTCATCCCCTCTCCACATCTCCTGGATACTTGCCAGCTACATCCCTCCTTGGCAGCATTTTAAGTAAAGGTATGTAATTAATGTACTTGGGCACCTCACAGAGAATTCCAGGAGTTCACACGGGGCTCAAATTAGATATTCTGGTCACAGAAAGTTAACAAACACCATGGAGATAAATGCCACCCCCTTCAGAGTCCTGATGAGCTAAAACCTCCTACTGAAAAACCTACACCGAGGCAATGGGCTGGGCTGTTCTTGCCTATGGAAGTCCAAAGCTCCAGCTTAACGTGAGTTTGGATCCCTAGGCTCAGTTTTTGCCACAAAGCAAAAATAAAGCCCCAGAGAAGCACAGCACACTCCACCACTGCAGCCAGGGCCCCAAGACATCGGGTTGTTCTGCCCAAGTGTTCACATGTGCCCACAGGAGCAGGACCCAGCAAGTTCTTTGCTGAAGCCAA